GTATTTAAAGTTATATATATGTAGTGTAACAACTGTCTGGTATCCATAACACGAGCGTCGTAGCTTACCATGGAACTAGATGGTGATGTGTGTTAATGTCCAAACATATTTATTTATATTTATTTATTTATTATATTTGGGATCAAAACGACTCAGATTAAATGAAACGGATGCCGATAGATAGATGTAGAATCATGGGTTGAAGCTATTTCCATTCCTTCCATTCAACTTTAGCATTTGTTATTTAATTAAACCTACGATGACAAAAATTCCAAATATTAAGAATCTTTTATCGCCAAAAAATCACTAAAAACAGCAATAAATCTAACGATCGGCATTAAAACTTAGATCGTTAACAATAAAATTAAAGAAAACTTTATGTCATAAATATTATCTGAAAAATATATCTGGAGACTAATTATTTAACTTCGCAAAGCTTCTGATATATAGCAGGTGTCCTTGAACATATCATTATTATGTTAATAATCTATGAAATTATTTAATAGTATTCGTATTAAAAATATTGTGCTTAAATTTATTTTGATTTTATAAGTAAATAATGTTTTTGGGGAACCAAAAAGTAAAACGAATCCACGATAATATTCCAGAAAATGGTTTTGTTTAAAATTTATAATATTCTCCCAAACCTAAGAATTTATTTCTTTTTATTTATTTATTGGTACGAAATTCTTTCTATGTCTTTGTTATTTCCATATGCTATATTATAGAAGCGTATAAATTAAATAAACCTAACTGTTGTAAAAATCTAAATTAATGTTATTTTAAAGAAACTACCATGAATTTATCCTACATATTGACTTATTTGACAATATTGGCTCAGTTTGTAGTGCCAACGGACGTGGGTTCGAATCTCGCTGGGGGTATTCATTTGTGTGATGAGTGCGAATGTTTGTACTTCAGTCAAGGGTGTTTATATGTATAATATATATGTATTTAAAGATTTATATGTGTAACGTATAAACTATCTGGTATCTTTTATTTATTTATTTACTTCTTTTTACACATTGTATCAATTCAATGATCACTTGTGTACGTCAATTAGAAGACTTAAACTAAAGCTACGAGGGTTCGTAACGCGCCCTGGTCTGAGAAGAACCCACAAGAAACTCAGCCAAGTAACATTTTTTTTTATTGTGATCATTGTTTCACAAACATCCTTACTTCAGTATAAAGAGCAATTCATTCCCAAGCTTTTTTATCACTTAAATAATCCTTTACATTATAATAGGATTTATTTATTAATTGTCTTTTAATGTAAATTTTAAATTTATTTATTGACAGTTTTAAAGTATCATCTGGTAGTTTATTGTAAAAGCGAATACTATTACCAATAAAGGAATTACCAATTTTATGGAGCCTAGTGGTGGGCTGAACTAGCTTATTTTTGTTTCTAGTGTTTACATTATGCAGGTCACTATATTTCTTGAATTTATCAATATTTTTATGTACATATATTAGATTTTGATAGATGTATTGGCAGTGTACAGTCATTATTTTAATTTCTTTAAACTTATTCCGCAAAGATTCTCTTGGGCCTAAATTATATATAGCTCGAACAGCCCTTTTCTGCAGCACAAAAATTGTGTCAATATCAGCAGCATTACCCCATAGTAAAATACCATATGACATAATGCTGTGAAAATAGCTAAAGTATACTAACTTAGCTGTCGTTACATTTGTTAATTGACGTATTTTCTTAACCGCGTAGGCTGCAGAACTGAGCTTATTCGATAATTGAGAAATATGAGGGCCCCATTGGAGTTTGGCATCTAATGTAATGCCTAGAAATACAGTGGTATCAGCTAGATCTAGTTCCTCATTATTCAGTCGTACATTGGTTTTTACACTTTTAACATTTGGTAAAGTGAATTTTACACATTTTTGTTTTTTTTCTCGTTTAGTAAAAGGTTGTTGACATTAAACCATTGTACCACTTTGGATAAAGCAATGTTCACATCGTCAATTACTGCTTGTCGTCTGTTTAACTTTAAAAACTAAAGATGTATCATCAGCAAACAAAACTATCCCGTGGTCATCCTTTACGAGGTATGGTAGGTCATTTATATAAATGAGGAACAAAAAAGGACCCAAAATTGAACCTTGTGGTACACCCATTTCAACAACTGATCCAGGGGAACGCTTTCCATTCACGTCTACCCTCTGGATTCTTTCATTCAAATATGATCTAAGTAAATCCAGAGCCTTATCTCTAATTCCGTAGTGGTGTAATTTTCTGACCAACGTTTCATGATGAACGCAATCAAATGCCTTGGACAAATCACAGAAAATGCCAAGTGCATCACGTGACTCCTCCCAGGCCTCAAATATATTTAGAAGTAACGCGACTCCAGCATCGGCTGTTGAACGACCGCGAGTGAAACCGTATTGCTTTACATGTAATAGTTCATTATTATAAAAATGTTTCGTAATTTGAGTTAACATTATTTTTTCAAAGATTTTACTAAATGTAGGTAATATTGAAATAGGCCTAAAATTAGTGGCATCAGAGGTACAACCCGATTTAAACAAAGGAATAATTTTACTAAGTTTCATTAAGTCAGGAAACACACCAGATTCTACACACTTATTAAATATTAATGCTAAGTCAGATGCAACAACATCAATAAGTGGTTTAAGGATGCTAACAGAAATTCCCCAAAGATCTTTTGTTTTTTTAACATTCAGTAATTTAAATACATTTATAATTTGTTGTGCATTTATATTTTCGAACTTAAAGCTAATATTGCATTCTTCCACATTTTGTTCCAATAATTTGATCGCAGTGGCAGGTGAAGAGTTCAGAGACCTAGTAGTGGAAACTGGTATGTCGGTAAAAAAGGTTTCAAACGCGGCGGCTACCTCAGAGTCAGAACTAATGTATTTATTATCTATATTTAATTTAAAGCTATTGTTTAGAGTTTTTACTCTTTCCAGTTTCCTCGTTAATTATTTTCCATGTAGCTTTAATTTTATTACCACTATTTTCTATCTTGTTACTCAGATAATGAGACTTTGCCATTTCGCAATCCTTTTTAAATAATTTGGAAAATGATTTAACTTTGTCTCTAAACCGTTTCACTAGTGTTATGCTGCCTTTCTGCGTACATTTCGTATAATTTTTCTCTTTTTTTATATAACTCTGCAGTTGCCCACTCACTAAATACCAATGTATCAGAAACTGTAACCGATTTGGTAGTGAATACCGAATTGTAAAGTTTACTAAAAGATTTAAAGAATTGGTTATACATCTCATTCGCACTTAAATTATTACTTAATAATGGTAAATAACAACTTAGGTCATTTTGCAATTGAATGAGTCGGTTTGTAGTTACTGGCACAAAGAGATTTTCCTTTTTGTGACAACATTTTTATCGATATTAAACTTTATTAATTGACCACAATGATCAGAATCTATCTTACTAATAATGTTTTTAGAATTGGTGTAAAGTTGGTAAAAATGTTGTCTATACAAGTGGCACTAGTGGCAGTTATTCTTGTTGGCTCCATAAACATTTTGGAAAGATTGTGTGATGTAAAAAGGTTAAGTAATTTCATACTCAAAGTACTTTGTTCTGAAATATTTATGTTAAAGTCTCCACACACAATCTTTTTCTTATTAGAATTTGACAATTTATTTAACATTACATCCATAACTGTTTCAAAAGTATCATAGTTAGATGAGGGAGGTCTGTATAACACATACTACAATGAATTGCTCTAACTCTACTGATGCTAATTCAATTGTACGCTCAACAGAGAGGCTCACTATGTCTTTACGTTCCTTATATTTCAACAATTTGTTCAGTATTATTAAAGAGCCACCATGTATGGAATTCGCCCTGGTAAACGTACTACCAACCTGGTGGTTACTGAAATTAAACATGATTTCATGAACTTTTCAACCAATGTTCAGTAACACAGAATATATTAATATCAAAACTATTTAAAAATAATTCTACTTCTAATATTTTACCTCTCAAACATTGAATATTCTGATGCACCAGATTGATATATTGAATACTATTACATACTTTTTTGTTTTTTAAATAAATATTATTATCTGTTAATATTGGGCTAGAGGAGATCTCTATTGTCTTTTTTTTGTAGTTTAAAGTACTCTGTGGTACATTCAAAATATTACTATTACTACTGCATAGCTCAATAGGAGCTTCTTGTATAGCCAATTCTTAGCTAAAGTTTTAAAATAATAAGATAGCGACATAGCTATCTGTTGTTTTATAAAAGATGGTAGGGAATACCTACTATCAGTCCACTTATAATAATATTTATTAGCATATGATTTGTTAAAATCAATAACATTGAATTTCGAATTGTAAGTACATGAATTGTACAATGTCATATTATACTTATATCTAAGATTATTTTTATGTTGTGGCAACTTGTTACAGTAAGGTAAAGTAAACATTACAATTTTATTAACTTTTAGCTTATTCAAATATTCTAAACATTTTAACAATTCTATTTTGTTTACATTACCCCTATTTCCTATGAAAATTATTAAATTACTTTGTATATTGAAATTTTTGCTGTCTTTATGAATTTGTGAAATAATTTCAGAAAGACAGCAATTTGGTAAACAGCTGTTTGATACTTTTGTATCAAATTGTGAGTATAAATAGGTGCCCATATTCCTTCCAATTTCATCACTGTACATATATGTGTTTCCATGTTGGAGGGAACTATCAACAGTAGAGAGATCAGTCCTGTCACACAATATTCCCTGAAATGGGGGAGTATTGACCGGGGGTGGAGAACTCAGTTGTTTACATTCACATATACAATTGTTTGTGAGTGAGTCAAATCTTTCAGAGTTATACTTAGATAACTTTAGTAGTTCATCCATCTCCAGTTGGTACTCATTTAACATTTTCTCACTACTTTCATACTTTGCAGTAATACTTCTTAAGGAAGTTTGCAACTGGGCTATGTGTAATTCTAATAATTGTGTGTCAGACTCATATCTCTGGCTTATATTTTTCCAATTCTAATTTACAAACATTAAATTTTGACAATAGTGAACTGTTATTTTTATATATTTTGGAAATACATTTGTTTTTACTTAATATCTTTTTTGTTTTCTTTATTAATTTATTTACTTTTATGTACTTTTTTAGTTTATTGTTGCTACAATTGTCTAACCGTTGTGCTGGTAAGGTATCATTTGTAAGATCTATAGTTACCGGGTTTTCAATTGTAACATCAACCAACTCTGGAGCGTTCTCAACTAACTCTTCGAACAAGCTATGAGTGTGCAGTGCTGTTGCTTGATGGGCACTCTCTTCCAGCTCAGAGATATATTTTTGTGCATCTCGCAGCTCGCACTCCAGTGTGGTGATCCGCTTCAGTGCCTGTTCATACTCCACCGCACACTCATCAAAACTAACTACTATTGATTTTAATCTGTCTCTCTCCTCTGAAAGATCACTATGATCTATATGTAACCGTGTCAATGAAGCTTTTAACTTGTCATTACTTTTTAATATTGTCAATAATTCTTTTTCATTTTCCTCTCTTTCACTATGCAGTTGAGCACACAAATCCTTACTTACTTTTAGTTCCTGTAAAGCCAATTGGAGTTTAGACTCCTCCTGGCGGGCAAATGCTCTACGGGTTGTCATTATAAATCAAATAAAAGGATTCGTGGGGCAAAACAAAAGAGAGGTTAATGTTGATAAATTGCAATTACTAGTACAAGTAAATTAAAGTATTATAAAGCAATATTTAATATAATAACTATTGGAAACACACTATTTTGTTTAAAATAACAACTAAATTTCAGATTTTTCAGCATAACTGATTTCCATAACACAAGCCTGAAGCCTCGTAATATCAAAAAAAAATTGGTAAAATAGTGGTGTTTCTGTATATAGATAGGTAAATACCATTCATATAGTTCAGTTTTTATCAAATTTTCAATAATAATTATCGTCGGATTTTGATTACTGAACGAACACTAGTACAAATAAATACGCAAATGAAGTCGCGGGTGAGTCTAGTGTTAAAATAATATATAAACATTACTCACTCAGTTGTTAGTCCTAAATAATCCTTCTAATGCAGGGTTCATATATCATCTTTTTCATGAAATCCTTTATTTTCACCCCTTTGTAATATTTGCCAACAAACTCCGCCTTCATGTGGAATGAAAATGTCTACCTCATCTTTTAGCCTTTACGGAATTTTAGATCTATTTATTCACGATATAGTGCTCTTTTTTATACAGTGACGACATGATTAGCTCAGTTTGTAGTTACCCTAGTTGCTTTGCCAGCGGTCGCGGGTTCGAGTCCCGCTGGGGGCATTCATTTGTGTGATGAGCTCGAATGTTTGTACTCATGGTTGTTTATATTTATAATATGTATGTATTTTAAAGTTATATATGTATAGTGTATCAACTATCTGGTATCCATAACACAAGCCTCGTAGCTTACCATGGAACTAGATGGTCCTGTGTGTTAATGTCCCAAAAATTTTTATTTATTTATTTTTATTTATACATTATGCCACACTACTACATTTCTGTATGTGTATGTGAGATTGTTGCTTCTTTACACAAATTACACGTAACTATTATCATTTTTCTAACGTTAGGAAATTTACGCATAACACCTGCATACATAATATAGGTATTATGTGGGACTCAGCGGCTAGAAAAGTCAGTGCTACACACTAAAACCCAACAGAACCTCTTAACCATCTTAATGGGACGACGCAGGATCGAACCCAAGCAGACCGAGGGTGAATCGCTAGTATAACTGAGTTGCTTTTAGAAGATAGTTTGAATAAATTTCAAAAAATATTTTCTTAGGCGCTGTCGTTCGAAGTGCCATTGCAGCTGTATATCGCTGTGCAAATTGAACAATCCCCTGAGTGCTCGCATCTATTCTACGTACGAGTATACATATACATATAGACGAGGGACGCGTGTCTAATATTACTTTATCTCGGGCATATATTTGTTTGTGACTTACTGTTTTTTTGTTAAGAAAATGTATTTTATTTGTCTTTAATGTTATAAATATTTAACATTTAGAGCTTGGGAATAAATAAGTTACACATTTATATGATACTAGCATTGCCCGCGGCTCCGCCCGCGTTCAGATGACCAAAAACTAAATTCTTAGGTGTTACATATTAGTATACTCTTACATTGCAGTTTTTGTATTTTTCCTCAGAAATAAGATATTTTCCCGCGGTAAAAAGTATCCTAGGATCGCGCGCTACATCGCCCGGTTTATATAGCTTGAGCAGGCGGTCGAGCGATGCGGGGCAGAGGGGATGGACTCGCCGTAGGCATCTCAATGCTCGCCAAGCATTAAAAATGTTTCGCTACTAATTACTTCTAACAACGATATCTCAAAAACTATTCATCTGATTGATTTAGTGTAAAGAGCAATTTTAATCTGCATTAAATGACTAAGCTAACTAAAATATTCATTTGGATAAGGATTAATACCGAACTAAAGAAAATAACTTTGAAAATAACGTAATGTTTTTAATTAAAAATGTTAACATAAAAGTGGTTATTGTAAGTCAACCGTAAGAGATAGAGATATGCTATCGCGGACTTTTTTGTAGCATTTTTATAGATTTTGAATTCTCTAGTACATTACTTAACTGTATCTTTGCTAGTTTACGCGGCGTTCGCGTGGAAAGTTCCCATTTGGCGAGATTTTTTGCGACCTCTTCAACATTTGTCGCCGTATTTCAGCTAATTTACATAAAAGCATAATAAATTATATACCTAAACCTTCCTCAAGAATTACTCTTTCTATTGTTGAAAACCGTATAAAAATCCGTTCAGTAGTTTTCGAGTTTATCGCGTACAGACAGACAGGAGGACAGACAGGAGGACAGAAAGACGCGGCCGGGGGACTTATTTTTATAATAAGTATAGATATGATTCCATTTCCTAAAGCTTTTTGTTTCTTTCTTATGTTCTTTTATATTACCAATAAAAAATGTTTAAATTATGTAATGTAGTGATTTGGAAATATCTAAAAGAATAATAAAACTTTTGTGTGTTTGTTTGTTTTAAAAAATAATATCAAACTTTTTAGATTTACGCGAATAATTGACATTTAAAAAAAAGTTATAGGATTTTTTCGCGGATTAATTGTGAGTTTTGGTTCCTGACAATTTAAATGTCATTCCTGACATTTACAGCAATCATGGTAAAGGGAGAAAAGGAGGTTTTAGACGTCTCAAATTTCAATATATAAGTTCATTATATATGTATTCGAAACATCGGGAATCAAAAATCAAAATAAATTGGCAAAAATATCCGAAAAAACTTATTAACAAAAAAATAAAAACCGACTTCAAACAAAAGCACTAAAACGTAAAAAATAACTGATTGGTAGTTTTCATTTACTATACATACCTAATCAAATATTTTCGAAGTCGGTGTGCTTTGCTTTGTATGGGCTGGCACCGATTTCAAAAATATTTGATTAGGTATGTATTTAATAGGTAGGCTTTAATTACTTAGCCAAAGCACACCGACTTCGAAAATATTTGATTAGGTATGTTATAGTAAATGAAAACTACCAATCAGTTATTTTTTACTTTTTAGTGCTTTTGTTTGAAGTCGGTTTTTATTTTTTTGTTAAAAAGTTTTTATTTTTCCCTTTTTAGTGTATACAGTAGTAACGAAGTAAGAAGTCTAACGTGTTAGGCTTGTCAAATCAAACAAACTAAGCCCAAACTCAAAGTATCTACTATTAGCCGTTGAAGAATTCCACCTATCCACCTTCTGGCCTTACCATCAGATCAGGTCAATAATACCAAACCACTGTACTATCAACGGAAATGGAAACACTTGCAAATTTAAAGTTAATATGACAATTAGAAGTAGGTTAAATTCATCATTAGCTATTTTTCCACCCTTAGGGGTTGTATTTTTTTTTAAATTTAAATGGGACCAATCTGGAAGTATACCCTTTCAAACAACACAAAAATTGTCCAAATCGGTTAATAAATGACGGAGTTCTGAGGTAACAAACATAAAAAAAAACAGTCGAATTGAGAACCTCCTCCTTTTTGAAGTTGGTTGAAAAATATAATTTTACTCAAAATTATATCTAAGATGAAAACTTTATTTTTACAATATTTATGTAAAGTGATTGAAAATTTAAAATTCAAGATAATTTATTCTTATAAATAAACTATTCTTCAGTTTTGATATAATATCTTTAGTGATGTGTTAGCTAAAATCTGAATTATGTAGTACTTTAAAAGACAAATACTAAATACGTATTCTGTGTATGAAAACAGAATACTCTGAATTTTTCCCAATTTTTTTCCCACATAAATTATATTAGAATTTTACATATGCAAACTGCATTCGTTATGTACACAGCGATACTAGCGTTATTTATTCTATGCGCTTCCAATAAAAGCCGGTAAATGGTTTTAGTCTGCTATTCTGTAACAAATAGCACAATGTTACACAATATGGTGCGATATATGTGCTATATATTAAGAATTAGTCATTTTTACTTATTTTTAAACTTTATATTATACTTATAAATAAAATTGGAATTACTGTAAGTGATTTTAAAATATCTTTTATTTAAGAAAATCTAAATTGAATATAAATTGGACTTAAAATTATTAATATTTACATCACAAATATTTGCAGCGTCTTTTGGAAGTGATATATTTTGATTAACATAGTTGTATTGATTTTGGTATTTGTTTTCGTATTCATGGTAATTATTTTTGGTAAATTTGTTGTAGCCAGTGGTATTTAAAGTTTTGTTAGTTTCAATAGGTTGTATTGGCACAGAATAAACTTTCCCAGCTTCACTGTAGGGAATGCTATAAACGTTCAATTCTTCAAAATTGGGATCTTCAAAATGAGCATCTCTAGAAGTTGAATACCTCATATTTAAAGTCGGTTTCGCCGTACGTATACGTTTTTTCTCCTGAAACATTAAGGTAATATTATATAATAACCGATATAATGAAATTCTGGCCATATCCACGTGATAAAAAATTTCATACTAAGTCCCATCTACTATCCCACGGGAACTCATTTTCTTTGTAGTATTTGATAGCTAGATATCACCTTTGGGACGGTGTGTAATAACAACTTGGCGTGAAAATAACCTTTTTTTCTACTTTGAAGAGTATACTGTTCATAGTTCGCACTTGAGTCATAAATATTTTTAAGCTTTCAACAGACCTCTGACTTAAAAAATCGATAACGAATTATTAAGCCCATACATCTCTATGACATATATGTCATATAACTTATCTATTAAGGTTTCTACATATTATATACTAGCGAATCACCCTTGCTCCGCTAGGGTTCGTCCCTAGTTACGTTTTCTTAGTATAGATTTCTCAGAGATGAGATATTTTCCCGCAGTAAAAAGTATCCTATATGTTGACCCGGATAACCAGCTATCATCATACCGAATTTCATCAAAATCTGTCCAGTGGTTTTCTCGTCATACGTTCCGTGAGACAGACAGACAGATAAAAATGCTAAAAACTATATATTTGACCTCGATAATAATATCTATTTCAGTAAGATTTTCTAAAAAATATTTTATGTACAGATTCGAATCAGTTGAAATTTTATTATATGTATAGATTAATTTTAATGTCTATTGTTGTAGGTCCAAGGTTTATTAACTTACTTCCTTTTTGTACATATTATAACTTAATATAGTTTAATGATCTTATTTTACCGACCAATCTCCTTCATGTGTTCTCCATTTTACGAGATTGGCGAAGTAATTTGTCCTCAACAGACACGCTTTCACACCATTAACAAGATAATTGAATTAAATACATCTCATACTATCATGAATCACTTTGCTTATTGGTTATGCTTATTTGCTATTTGGTTTTTATATGATATTATTATTATTATTATTACTGCATTTGCCAATTTTTTAACATATATTATTAAAAAAAAATCATTCACTCTGAACAAAAATATCTATATAAACAGACACACTTGCATTGAGCGCATAATAGAACCCGCGAATTTCGATAAGAAGGCAGTTTACACTCAGGTACTCTCAGTGCGACGACATTTTTTTTAAATAATTTTTTTTATACCACGTCGGTGGCAATCAGGCATGCGGCCCGCCTGATGGTAAGCGGTTACCGCAGCCTATGGACGCCTGCAACACCTGGAGCATCACATGCGCGTTGCCGACCCTTTAAAAACCTATTTACTCCCCTTTTGAAGGACCTTTTAATTATTAAAATATTAGTGGAAATAATATAAATACGTACCTTAGATTTATATATTTTTAGCATTATAAAAATCAATAAAAAGGCTATAATGATTACTATCAAAGTGATGATCCCACATACAATATTTTTTTCCTTTAACGTTATTTCTGAAATATAAATTTATTAGTATCATTGCCTGCTTTTCCAATATCTTTTATTATATACTAGCGACATATCCTTGCTTCGTTCGGGTGCGTTCGTTTTAAATATAAATAAATATATTGGGTCATTAACACACAGCACTATCTAGTTCCATGGTAAGCTACAAGGTTTGTGTTATGGATACGAAATAGTTGATACACTACACATATATAACTTTAAATACGTACATTCTATAAATATAAACATCCATGATTGAAGTACAAACATTCTTGCTCATCACACAAATTAATGCCCCTAGCGGGACTCGAACCCGTGACCCCTTGCACAGCTAATAGCTGCAATATGCTGAGTCAGACGTGCCATCAAATAGATAAATTACGAGTGTGCCTTATGAGACAGTCTCATGCTTGATATTGTGTACTTTTTTAAAGGCCTTTTTTAGTTAAACCTTGTTAAAACTAACATGTCTGCGTTAGTAATGTAAATTTCTAAGGGTGACTGGAACTAATTATTGTCTTTTGTCGTGGAAACGAAAGATTTTTCTATAGTAAAAGGTATACTAAATGTTGACTTAAGTAATAAGTTAGCACTACACAAAATTTAATTAAAACCGGTTCAGTGCTTTTTGCGTGAAATGCACACAGACAAGCAGACAAATCTTTAATCACATGCAGTTATGGTTTTTAAAAAATATTTCATATACAGACGTAAGTTACTGTTATTTATTATATAGAGATGTACATACTGTACAACGTATATACTTTTAATTATTATTTAACCTTACCTAAACGAGGTGATATCTCTGTTTCCGGCTCAGCACTAGAAGGTATATACTTCTCATACTTTAGTTTGATCTCTTTCCGCTCCTGATATTGTAGATTATCTTCATTGAAGTTTTGAGAAGTCTCTTTATTAAGTTGACATTCGAGAGTTAAATCAGCGTCAAATTCATTTAAAATGAACTTTTGTTCTAGTTTATCTTTAATGGTGCTACTCACTCTAACACCACCTGCAATATTGTTATTGATATTAGCATTGATAAGACTTTCGTAGATTTTCGTAAATATTTGACATTTAAAATTTTTTTTATTTCGGATTTCTGCGCCAGTTTATTTTGATTTTTAACTGGGATTTTTGTATAAAACTCCTAACTTTTCCCCGTGACCATGTTTGCTGTAAAACATTCGAGGTGACGGGAACAACAAATCAAAATAATCACTGAGAATACTTTAAGCAAATAGTTTTATTGATATTTTATGCTTACCCTATATTTAAAGAGGATTTATAGTATACTTATACATATAATTCACAGGGAGTTAATGCTCAATTTGCTTATATTATATTTTTTGTGTTTATGATGGGGATATCTACGCTAATCGTATGTCAATTTTTATGATTGTTTTTTAATGAATAGATTTTATTGAAGGAAAAACTGTTAAAAAAAAAACAATTTTTACAGTAATTTTGATATTTTAAGTTTTACCCATAATATGTATATTGCACATTCTAACGATATCCCCACAAGAACGGAACCTCAGCTGTATTTTTTTATATAATGACCTTATTAAAATAAGATCACTTAAATTTATTTACTATCTGGAAATTAGCTGAAAAAAAGCTTTGCACTAACATCTATTAGATTTTCGTTGCATTCAAATAGTCCGTCTATTCGAATGCAATTAAAATCCAAAATAATCCAAAAATTCCAAAAATCCTACCTTGAATGGATACTTACTTTTATACCATGATAAGCGTATTGTGCCGTAAGTTGGTCTTTGGTTCCTGCGACACGTCAAAATTAACACTTCATTATTTGTAAATTTATAAAAAATACTTTCTGACCCTCTATTGTCCAATATGTTTTCATTTTTAAGACCGTCTATTTGTAACACTGAAAAATAAAAAGAAAAAAATACGTATTTGTTTGCAGGTAGTTTATAAATGAAACATTTACAAGCATGTTAGGATATTTCCACTTTTTATATATGTATTTAGCCCTTTTTAACGTCCCACTGCTGAGCCTCCCTTCAATGCGAGAGGGATCAGGCCATAGTCCACCAAGTTGGCCAAAAGCAGGTTAGCAGACTTTACATATCTTTCGAAAACTTGCTAGGTTTTCTCAGACATGCAGGTTTCCTCGCGATGTTTTCCTTCACCGTAAGGCAAGTGGTAATTATGTTAAAAATGATTCGAACATGAAAATGTCAGAGAACCCGAGACCCGGGGTTTGAACTCGCTTCACTCGGATTCTCAATCGCGTTACCACTGGGCTACCACGGCCTTTTTTATATAGGCGCTGGTTTTTTATTCCAAAAAAAATCTAACCAGAATAATAATATACAGTATAAAATATTAATCTATACCACTTATAAAATACTATATTGTGGATAAACCACTCACTTTTAGTAGCACTTGCTTTTGACGCGTCTCCATCTGTAAGGTTTGTTATCGTCAGATTTATTTATTTATTTATATAGGTATACAAAATTTTATCATTTATTCCAATATATGTTCAGCCAAGCCAAGCAATACGCCAAGTGTCTCTAGGAATTGTTTACTTTTGAATTAAAAAATATCGACTGACTAGCGACTCCATCACTTAATACGTTAACAGTTAGTATAAATTTCTCAGAGATGAGATATTTTCTTGGTTAACAGTAAACGGCTTAACTGTAAATAGTTATCTATGTTGACCCGGATAACCAGCTATCATCATACCAAATTTCATCAAAATGTGTCCAGTAGCTTTGTCGTGATCCGTTCCCAAACAGACAGACAGACAAAAATTCTAAAAATTATAGATCCGGCCTCTGTATCGATAATAACGACTATTTCAATAAGATTTTCTAAAAAATATTTAAAGTACAGATTCGACTCAGAATTTTATTATAAGTATAGGTATTTTAAGCACCTTAACCCCTCACTATAATCGTACTTACGAAAATATGTAAACCAAAACAGAACAATCACAACACTTTTCATCTTTCACAATTAATTGTCACAAAAGTCCAAATAAAACTGGAATTTATAAATTAATTCCTTATAATATGTTTTTACCTAAATGCTTATTTATAGAAAATAATATTTGATTAATACAGGATAATGTGCTCTATGTTTAAGACAATAGAGATGACAATTCGTTAGCATATTGAATGTACAAGGAAAATAGTATACATGGCAATGATTTCATAACATTTATACTAGTTTCTACTCGCGGTTTCGCTCACGTTATACGTAATTTTTAGGGTTCCGTACCTCAGAATAAAAAAAGGAACTCTTAAAAGATTACTGACGACACGTTTGGCTCAGTTGGTAGTGACCCTACTTGATGTGCCAGCGGTCGCGGGTTCGAGTCCCGCTGGGGGATTCATTTGTGTGATGAGCACGAATGTTTGTACTCCAGTCATGGGTGCTTATATTTGTAATATTTATGTATTTAAAGTTATATATGTGTAGTGTATCAACTATCTGGTATCCATACCACAAGCCTCGTAGCTTACCATGGAACTAGATGGCGCTGTGTGTTATTGTCCCAACATAAAAAAAACATACTTCGTTCTCCGTCTCAAGATCCTTTTTCCTAGGAACATATAGGGGTATCAAATTGAAATTTATATCAAATACTCAGGTTTGTATTCCCTTGAAGCTGCGAAAAAAAATCAAACTTCTAAGCCAACGCAATCAAAAAATACGGCCGTTTACGCCGCATATTTTGACGATCGCAAGGGAATCAAAACCCATAGGATACTTCCGTTGACATAGAATCATGAAAGGCGAGAAGCAATGTCTTATAGCAGAACTAAATTTGTAGTTACAACACAAAAAAATATCCTTCTGCATTATAAAATATGGATTTCAATATTTCATGCTACGGAACCCTCAGTGTGCGAGTCAAACTCGGACTTATCCTATTTTTATTATTATTAATCAGTAACCACAGACTGTTTACAACTACAGCTGAGTTAAAATAAAATTACCTGTCCCATGGAAACGCATTACAGTGATAAGAGTATCGTATCTATTCTATAATAGTATATAGCAAGCACAGATCATGCCTTATTTAATACCAATCTTTGTCCAAATTTGTTTAAAAGTTCAAGTCACAACCATTCAAACATGTTTTTAGAGTCAATAATGTAAGTTTAAATACAGATATATTTCTATATCTTACTAATATTATAAATGTGAAAGTTTAGATGTTTGGATGGATGTTTGTCACTCAATCACCCCAGAACGGCTGAATGGATCTGGATGAAATTTAGCACAGAGATACTTATAGTCTGGAATAGCACATAGACTACTTTTAACCCGGAAAATTTACGGTTCCCATGAGGTAGATTGGTTTTGTTTTTCTAGAGTACTGGGTATAAATTATAACTAGCGGCTCACCCTCGCTTAGCTCGAGTTTGTCGCTAGGTACGATTTAAATATATATAAATAGTTATTATCCAGCGTTGTCCATATAAATTTTAATATGGTTGTTAAATATTCTTAAATAAATATTCTTAAATTTTATAATTTTCCGCGTATTTTTTTAAATTTTTTCTTCCTTAAGAACCTTCTCCTGACAATAACAAACACAACAAAAAAAATTGTTAAATCGGTCCAGCCGTTCACGCGTGATAGCGATGGCGTGACCAAGGGAAATAGGGATTCATTTATATGTATGTATGTATATATATATATATATATATATATATATATATATATATATATATATATATATATATACACGTCCATTATAGCGATACTAAATTACATAAGGAATTGTACAACACCTAAATATCTTACAAAGATCTTAAAAGATAGTAAAAGCATTTTTGTGGCTATCATTTTTTTATAAATATTCTATTAAGTTTTTTCTATTGGCTGTTCCATAAATATCCATCGGAGTACTATCATAATAGCGAAAGTATTTATGTATGTATATGTGTACGAATATTATGTTAGTTACTCGTTTTCATCCATTTATTTGGATGAAATTTACATAAATGGGCTATCCCTGTAATAAGAGGTACCTACTGACTGAATAAAGCAGTTTACTGTTATTCATCTAGAAACCCACCTAAGCGATACAAAAGTCAAATTTCAGTATGAAAAAAATATCAGGCTACGTACATTAAAGGTGCCCTTTAAAGATATTACTGAGTAGGCTTAGTGATAGTATAACTTTCTATACTACGGGAACGGAACCCTAAAAACAAAACTAATCTCATATCTAATGTATCAGAAGTAAAACAACAATAATACTTGAAACATATGAGATGTTTCGTAATGTAAAAGTGTCCACACACTCCAGACTTCTCTCTGATGAGAGTTTAGTCGTATTATAATAATGCAAGATATACGGAAAAGCCCATGCAAGAAGAAGAGTTCATATACGCTATCCATAATTAATATTATAAGTCTGAAAGTGTGTTTGTTTGTCCTTCTTTCACGTCGAAATGGAGAGACGGATTAGCGTGATTTTTTCTGTGGAGATAGTTAGAGGGCTTGGGCGTGACATAGGCAATTTTTACCGCGAGAGATTTTCTCATTCTCACGGGAAAACACGTAATAAAACCCAAAAAATATATATTTATAATCAAAATTACATGAAACTTGGCATTGATGCTTTTCAATATAATTAAATAAATACGTGTTTTATCATTTTTCGAAATTCACCCCGTAGTTGGGGGTTAAAATAGGGGTTGAAACTCTCCCCCCCAACGTGCGTTCACCTTGTCGTGGTGGGGGGGCTCAGTAGTAGTAGCGAAGCTAAAAAACGCACAGGGAGGTTGCCCACTTCGGTGGGCGGTGGGAGGTGGCCCTCTTCGGGGGCCGGTGTACCTTGCGGGTTGCTCCTGGTACTTCTCTGATAGCAGAGTGGACCTTGGAGCAACCCCATGGTTGTGGTGGTCTGCTTTGGCAGACCTGCCGTCGGGGCGTCGTAGTTGAATGCGTAAGCGATCCTGCGACGCCCCATTAAGACGGGGGAAGGTTTTGTTGGGTTTTAGTGGGTAGTACTGGCTGTATTACGCCGGTGAGTCCCACACGTCGTGCATAAATGCATTTCCCAACGTTAAAAAAAAAAGGGGGTTGAAACTTTGTATGAAACCGACCATTTTAGTTTTTTTGTAGTTTTAGCGCCAGCGAAAGCGCGGGCTCTACTAGTTAAATAATAATAAGTCTTTAGTGTGCAGATCTGTACCATTGTAGAGTAAGACGGTTGGACAATACCCCTTGTGGCAGTTAGCCAAGCTCGTGCTGAAGGAAACGGAAATGGATCTTTGTAATAAAATGAGATTTATCAGCTTAGCTATAAACTTAGGAATAAAATATCTATCATCCTAATGCCAATTTTGAACATTTGAAGTTTGTGGTACACTTTGGCCATGTCTTAATACTAACTATATTTTCATAAAATATGAACATGTTTAGACTGTATTACAGAATAGGAAACTATACTTTATCTATACATATAATAAAATTGCAACCAAGACGAATCTGTACATTAGATATTTTTTGGAAAATCTTATTGAAATAAACATTATTATCGATACAGAGGCCGAATCAATAGTTTTTAGAATTTTTGTCTGTCTGTCTGTCTGTTACCGCATCACAGAAAAACTACGAGAGAGATTTTGATGAAATTTGTTATGTTGATAGCTGGTTATTCGGGTCAACATATAGGATACTTTTTACCGCGGTAAAATATCTCATTTATGAGAAAAAATACAAAAACTGCATTGTAAGAGTATACTAATATGTAAAACCTAAGAATTTGATTTGTGGTCATCTGAACGCGGGCGGAGCCGCGGGCAATGCTAGTAATGTATATAGTAATTCTAAATGGAACTTATCTAATATCACTTGACAATGCAATCACAGTATATTGTTTTCACAGCGGAGGAATCAATTTAGCCGATTAGTTTCTGAAGTAAACAGATACAGTCGTATGTTAGACAATCAAACAGCCAGGTATAATAAAACCCTCCCAACCTCGGTTCAGTCACGGAGGCCAATCTTACTGAGATTAAACATCTATGTAGGTCAGATATTGTGTTGTCACAATAATACGTGCACTTCCCAACCCTATTGCATAGCACGATGTCTTTACAACAAACTTGTTTGAAATAGTATATACTATATATTATGTATTTAATTTTAAATAATCAGAAAATTAAGGCAGTGGTAGCCCTGTGGTAACGCTCTCGCTTGGGTCACCGAGTGAAACGGGTTCAAATCCCAGGTCTCGCATTTCTGATATTTTCATGTGCAAATCATTTCTAACATGATTACCACTTGCCTTACGGTGAAGGAAAACATCGTGAGGAAACCTATCATATCTGAGAGAACCTAGCAAATTTTTGAAAGACATGTGAAGTCCGCCAACCCGCAGTTGGCCAGCGTGGTGGACTATGGCCTGATCCCCCTCGTATTGAAGGGAGGCCCACCCCCAACAGTGGGACGTTAAAAAAAAGGGCTGAATACAATCAGAAATAATGACTATCTCTTATTCTATAGTCTATCTTTATTTTAAATTTTATCTAAATTGGTCCATCCATTTTGTGACAAGCAAAATTGTATTTAGATATATGTCTCTACCATATTTTCGGTTTTAGGTCTGATTGCGGCGAGTCATATCTCTTTATTACTCCATCTGGACTTGTTAGCTATACATATAATTTAGCTTTTGCCTGCGGCTCTGTTCGCTTATTTATTTGCTTATAATTGCTCTGGGCCTTAGCGTCGTATTGTGACGTAGATGTTCTTTAGATTAGATGAAATCAATAAATAGGCCATATACAAAGAGAAGCTTTCACATCTCACTGGTGAGATTAGTGTATTTAAATAATATTTGTTACTAAGTATGGCATTTTAGAAATTGCAAGTTATTTTAGTTTTTATTTCTCATGTTTTTATGAATGTCGTGACGTTTAATGTATTGATTTTAAATAAATTTAATTTCGAATCTGAATCCACGTGACGCTATAAATAATTATATATCCCAATCAGCTACTAACTATATGTTTGTTATGAATTTAACATCCCACTGATGGGCGTGGGCCGCCCTTTAAAGGCCTTTCAGGCCATAATACACAAAGTAATTTTATGGAACGGTATCTAAATGCAAAATGCAAAGCGCAATGCAATTTTATTTATAGTTAACCAATAAACTTCATTTACATAGAAATATTTTAAGCTTGACTGTATAGAAATGTTGATTGAATGTTCTAATATTTAGAGTTCTAATTTACATGTTTTAACCGACTTTAATAAAAGTGTATTTTAATTTGATTGTATATTTTCTAGATTCGTTGTTTATAAATATATAATATACTAGCATTGCCCGCGGCTCCGCCCGCGTTCTGATGACCAAAATCCAAATTCTTAGATTTTACATATTAGAATACTCTTATATTGCAGTTTTTGTATTTTTTCTCACATATGAGACATTTTTCCGCTGTAAAAAGTATCCTTTAAGTTGACCCGGATAACCAGCTATCACCATACCAAATTCCATCAAAATCCCTCTAGTGGTTTTTCTGTGATGCGGTAACAGACAGATAGACAGACAGACAAAAATTCTAAAAATTCAAAAATTCAATAAGATTTTCCAAAAAATATTTAATGTACAGATTCGGTTTAGTTACAATTTTATTATATGTATAGAAAATAAAGTCCCCTCACCGCGTCTGTCTGAACGCGATAAACTGAAAATCTACCGAACGGGTTTTCATATAGTTTTCACAAATATACTGAGTGGTTCATGAGGAAGGCTTAGGGTATCAAGGTTTTGTGCACATTGGCTGTAAGTGACGATGATTGTTGAAGATGTCGGAAAAAAATATACCGACTGGGGGCTTAATCGGCTTGCGCCGCGTAAACTAACAAAGATATATAAAAACAATGTATTACGGAATTAGTCGTCTTTTTGCTGAGTTTCTTTAACCAGTTCTTCTCAGGTCTGAGGCTTCTTCTTTCCGAACTGGCAGTAGACTCATGACGTTCAGTAAAAAATTGTAATAATTTAATGCTGAATAAAATATTTTGATTTGATTTGATTTGACCTAAAAAGATGTATCAAACTGTAGCAACAAACTACACAGTAAGTCACTAGTGTTATTATAAAAACTCTTATTTTGGCGAAATAAAAAAAACTTGCGTTGTTCTGTTAAGATAATTTATTTTTGTTGCTAAACAACATAACTATACTTTTTTAAAAGATAATGACATAATGATCTTATTCTGAGAGAAACAACATTTAAAACAATTTTTCCGCTAAATTACTTATTGAAATAAAATTGGTTTAATTTTAGTAAAATTATACGAATTTACTAAGAAATTTTAGAAGACGATTTCATTTACTTACACATTTTAACTAAGCAGTCTTTAAAATAGGCCAGTTCTTAGTTCCCAGACCATACGAGTACCTCAACATCCTTTCATCTCTCGCCACATTAAAAGTATATTAATTAGTTCTAATGCGTCGAAGTTTACTTTAGTTTCTAACAGTTGAGCTCCGTTCTGTAGCTTTGAGAAGACATATATGAATTTATCCTTATATTTTAAATATATCATACTAGTGATAGACCTTTATTTTGCTTACATGCGTCTCGAAATTATAATGCACAAGAGTAATATCGTCTAATACTTTCTTATAATACTTTCTTAGATTTACGCGAATATTTGACATTTTAAATAAAACTATCTTTTCGGATTTTGTCGCGGATTTATTTGCATTTTTGGTTCCCGACGTTTCGAATGCTTTACAGCATCCATGGTCACGGGAGAGACTGAGGTGTTACATGTCTTGAAGGTATAGTTGTTACAGACAGCCTACCCACAATTAACAAAGTAATATCGTCGTCGAAAAATGAGGTCCTTAAGGAAGGATAAACAAACTAATATATATTTACATTCATGATTTTAGACATAAAAAATGTAATTATAATTAAAATTCTATTAATGTCATAATTAATATTTTATTAATTATACGCATTTATAGGCAGTGGTAATCCATTGGTAACGCTATCGCTTGGGAAATCGAGTGAAGCGGGTTCTAATCCCGGGTCTCGCACCTTTGATATTTTCGTGTGCGAATCATTTCCAACTTGTTTACCACTTGTCTTACGGTGAAGGAAAATTTGTGAGGAAACCTGTATGCAGAGAACTTAGCAAGTTTTCAAAAGACACGTGAAGTCCGCCAACCCGCACTAGCCCAGCGTGGTGGGCTATGGCCTGATCCCCCTCGTACTGAAGGGAGGCCCGTGCCCAGCAGTGGGTCGTTAAAAATGGCTAAATACAATGTTATATAGCAGAATTATAATATTAAAAGTTATGAATACAATACAGTTTTTTGAATCTTGTTATTTACGTATTAAACCATAGTGGTTGGCTCACTTTCGAAGTACTACTAAGTAAGAGCAAAGTGCTATCATACAGTAGCAGTAGGAACAGACTCGCTTCGTGTCTGTAATATGCAACATGTTATATATACTTAAAGTGTGATATGTTCTATTAATAATTCTATATTAAATATGTATATTAATACACTATAATACCCTGAGGAAATGCGCTTACTTGGAAAATCAAGTGAAGGCTCAAACTTGGGTCTTGTACTTCTGATATTTTCATATACGAACCATTTACAACATAATCATCATTATTCCTACGATGTAAAAAATATATCATGAGGAAACGTGAGTCTGAGAAAACCTAGCAAGTTTTCAAGACATGTGAAGTTCCTAAACCGCGCTGCTCCAAAAAGGTGGTGGAAAGGTGACGCCATGAAATTATCCCTTGTATTGAAAAGAAGTTATGCCCAGCAGTGGGATATCAGTATACTTTCTTGTTCAAATTTAACAATATTGTATCTCATATATCGCTATTAGTATGCAGTTCACGTCTTTATTTTATTGTCCTCGTCGCGCTCGATTTATGTCTCATTGGATTAAAACACAACTCGCATGTCTGAATGCAGAATGTAGTGAGAAATACTCACATATTTTGGATGAATGTCTCGCCCAAGGTTTTACTATTAATCTATCCTATAATATATATTTTGTGTATATATATACATATATTAAAACTGTTGAGGTCAAATGTCTGTACATAGAAAAAAAATGCTAAAAACCGAATCAGGGAGGTGTAAGAAGAGAATTAGAACAAATCCAGATTTTTTAATTTTTTTTGTTTCTCTGTCTGTTTGTCTGTTTGTATGGGCTAATCTCCGAAACTGTAACTAGTATATATTATATAAAGTTGCTCGACTGACTAGTTAAAAGTACGAACATATTTCTTACTCAAAATATATATTGAGCGAAATAAGTGTGATGAGTTTTAAGATTCTTTAACGATATAGATACGTATGTAAAGTTAAACAGTGGTAATTAAGTATAATTATCTAACGATAACGATAATATCGACTTAATTATATATTAGATTTTTTAATTATTTCATCTATACTAATATAATATTATAAAGAGGTACAGTTTGTGAGTTTGTGACGTTGTAGGAGATATCTCTGGATCTACTAAACCGATTAAGATGAAATTTGGTAAGAAGATAGTCTGAAACCTTGGATAGGACATAGGACTTTTTATTCGGGAAATCAATCCTTTAAGGGGTGAAAATGGGAAAAAAAGTTTGTATGGGGAAGCAATCTAGGGACAAACTCGAGCGAAGCGAGGGTGAGTCGCTAGGTAAATATATGAGTAGAACCCATGAACATGTTTCAACACCAAAAATTACACATATATTTGAAAAACCTTTAATTTCTTTAAATAAGTAAATCAACCTCTATAGTGACATGATAACTGTTTATTCATAAAAAAACATCAATAGTTTAAAAACAATTACTATTCACTAAATATTCAGCAATTGACAGACGTCATCAGGTACTAAATGCACATCATCTGTATAGTCCTCATGCTGCCCCCCTCGCTCGCCACAGAGCTGCGCACGCGCAGTCACCAGTACGGCGCCGCAACACCACGCGCCCGCGCCCCCACCCCGGCCCCCGCCCGCGCGCCCGCCCCCGCGCCCGCCCCCGCCCGCGCCCGCGCGCGCGCGCACGTCGATACTGGCTTTGGTGTGATATGTGCCGCTACCGGGGGCGGTAGAGGATTGATATCTGAATAAAGGTAGTTTAAAATAATAATGTTACATTTCATTATGTTTAGTTTTATAAGATGTGGATAAAAACCGAGGACATATGCATATGTTACTTCCTTATTATACTTTTTGTATGGTTAGTAAGAACTTTTGTTTTAAGCAGGAATCGAACCAACAGATTTTAATTTTATCTTTATTTTACCGATGGCGGTGAAACTTTATTAAAATTTTGATTAATTTTCTATCAGATCACTTGAGATTACAACCTCGCTGTATACTTGTATCATGTGTGTTAATCGCTAACAATAACGGCTGGAATAATTACATGATTTGTACAACTTATAAAATATTGGAGATTTTTTGAAAGCTTTATTGGATCATATGATATTATATATTGAAAAAATTCAATAAAATAATAATATAACTCGTATAAAATAGAAATAAGCTACATGGTGGTGTAAGTATTCGAACACGAAACGAAATTAAATATATAAATTGAATGAAATCCATTTTAATTATGAGTCCAATATAATAAATGAGTGATACTGATGAGTTGATACAAGTTATGATTAGATACTTTGTTTATAATTCCTATATCTATCCCTATATTACAGACCTCGCAGTGTACTGCACGTACACGCGCCGTGTCTCTCCCGGGGCTAGTTCAAGCGCGCGCGGGAACACGCGGAACTGCTCGTCGTTGCTACTGATGACCACCTCGAACGTGGCTTGAGCTGTTAAATTATAGGTTTACTAGCGATTTACGTCTCTTACGTATCTAGGTGCCTAATAGTCAAGTAATAGTCTATCTGCTTTCCGATGTGTGGTCAACTTGTCATGGTGTGAGGCTCATTAGCATCCGGCAATCCAGCCGGGCGCGAAGCCAAAAAACGCACCGGGAGGCGGCCCACTTCTCCTTTTTGTATTTTGTTGTTGCTCCTAGTACTTCTCTAATATCGGAGTAGAGCGTTGAAGCAACCCTATGGTTGTTGTGGCCTGCCTCGGCAGGCCAATAAGAGACCCTGCGATGTCCCACTAAGCCGGGAGGTTCCGTTGGCTTTTCTACCCGGTGAGCCCCACATATCCACTTGTATGTATGCAGATTGTAGGGTACCCCATACCATGAATGCATTCATACATATCCGTGGGGTCATTTTAGCGTTAAGGAGTAACAAACATACTCACACAAACTTTCCCATTTATTAATTTATGTAGTGTGATGTCATATTTATTTGTCTATTCTTTAGTATTTAGTATGGGTCAGTCGGTTTTTTAATATAAAAATATAAATATACGTTCGTAATGTGCCTATACTGTTTATCCCATTGTGATGAAATTTTAGTGCCTCGTTCTACGCACGTGGAGGTTATTGAAATAGTTGCTAATATGCTGTTAGCATAATCTTTCGAAGTTATCATAGCTTACGACTTTTTGTATCGGATTGCCTCAAAATAATATATTATATACAATACATCTCTTATAATAAAAAAAATCATGACCGTAATTATTATAAAGCATTCGAAAAGAAACGTCGGGAACCAAAACTTGAAATAAATCCGCAAAAAAATCGAAAATAAAGTTTTATTTAAAATGACAAATCTTCGCGTAAATCTAAGAAAGTATCACTATCCTGCCATGAATTTCAACAATACTCACGGCTAGAGTGGGCCACAGTGAAGTGGCTCTTAGCGGTGCGTCCGTCGCCGAGTTCACCGAAGTCTATCGTACTGGGCTCTAGCGTTAAACGCGGCTGATCAATTAGAAGTATGAGGGGTATTGTCTGTGAAGATATATAACAGTTTATGAGATATTTCATAATTTAAGGCCTTTTTTATGAGTACCTAAAGTCTAAAACCCACAAATTTTATAACAAAATATCATACCAACAACAGAACATCATCAGTGTCGTAGAACCGTAGAGAGTCAGTTTCGATTCGTCGCAAAGGATACTCTTCCTGCGTGTCTGTTCCATGCGCGGGCCACCACGCCTGGGCGCTTACAGACACCTCCACAAACATCTGCCCATATATATATATATATATATATATATATATATATATATATATATATCTCGTTGTAATTTAACATTTATACGATATAAGAAAATAGTTATAATATAATTTATATTTTGTTATTAATTATGAATTCTAATATTAACATAGATGTTTTACATATTTTGCCTGTCGTCCCGTGACGGCTAACTTTTTAACCGACTTCCATGAAGCAGGAGGTTATCAATTCGTCGAAATCTTTTTTTTTATGTATGTTCACCGATTACTCGGAAACGCCTGAACCTATTTGGAATCTTTTTTTTGTTTCAAATGGTATACTTCTTAGGTGGTTCATATTTTTATAGAAATCAGTCGAGCGGTTTTTAAAAAAAAATCAACAATATATTTTTTTTTAAATATATGTGTATAATTGTAACATAGTTTAACAGATACGAGTATAACATTATTATGATTTAAAACGGGATATTTGCCATGTTCAGCACTTATTTTTAAGAGTTTGCGACTTCGCCGCTATTATGTTTTCCTTCACCGTAAGACAAGTGGTAATCATGTTGGAAATGATTCGCACTTGAAAATATCAGAGGCGCGAGACATGGGATTTGAACCCGCTTCCATCGGATCCCACTAGGCTAACCTTACTTTAGTTATAGTTAATAAATTATTGATAAGATTACTATATAAATACATTGTATATGTGTGTATTTTTATTACTTCTTGGCTTGGCTGTACAGATTTAGATAAAATTTATATACATATGTATATACAAAATCTTACTATCTTACTAATATTATAAATGTGAAAGCTTAGATGGATGTTTGGATGTTTGTTACTCAATCACGCCAGAACAACTGAACGGATCTGGATGTAATGTGGCATAGAGATAGATTATAGTCATGAACAACACATAAGCTTATCCCGGAAAAATGTACGATTCCCGTGGGATAGATTTGTTTTTGTTTTTAACACGTTAGTTACTGATATTATTAATAGTAGCTTTTTAAAATGGCATAGATATCTCTAAATATATTTTTAGATATAATGTTTTACTTCAGTAGAGCTATGAGGTGGTACAGTTAGGCTGGTTTCTGTGTTGTGCGAGCTGCACGCGGCGGGCACGCGGCCGGCGCGCCACCGGGGCGGGGTTTTGTAACGTGTTAGTATGGCGCAGTTTCCCGTGTTGCGGATACAGAAGTGCTTCCGCAATCTAAACAGGAAATAACTTGTTCATTACGGATAATAGATAAGTATCAAGTAGTTCGCTACGTTTGGGTGCGTCCCTAAGTAGTAATTACGCATTAAGCAAATTAAAAATAGTTTTTGCGAGTGTACCTTAAGAGTTAGACATATACTATTGCGGATTTTTCCATATGTTTTTTTTTGTTTTTATGTATTTTTTGAAGGTTTAGCCAGCGCATGGCAAATACCATGACAAACCATATTTTCAGAGGACGACTCGACAGAACCGGTTATTGTATTTTCCCGTGGGAATGAAAGATTTTCCTTTAGTGAAAGATAATCTAAATGTTGACCCGATTAATAAGTTATCATTACATATAAATAAAATGTATTCTGTACTTATTACGTGAAATGGTCACAAACATACAAAAATTTTAACAATTATTGTTTTTGAGTTAACAACACGTAAAAGTAATCGTTATTTAAAAAGTTCGTGTACAGATTTTACTTTGTTACTATTTTATTATAATATCATAACTATAACATCTTTATTCATATCGAGCAAAATGTATACTATGATCTTGTGCATTTCTTTTGTCACACGAATGAAAATGCAAAAACAACAAGTATTTTAGCTATTTACGCTATAAGTATATTAACCAGTCTTTCTGACAAAGTAATCGAGAGCCACGTTTCGTATATTTCTGAAATTGGAAAGTGGGTGAAGTGTGGATCTCATATGTATTATTAAGTTGGTTTAACGAAGTTCCCACTTACCTGATAACGTCATTGCAAGGTAGATCAAGGGCACAAACAGAGATGCGTATCTCTGAACAGGATGCCTGTAGATGTGCCAAGCGTTGTGTTATGCGGATATGGACTGGCTGGAACGGTGGAGTAGGTCGATACCAACCCTCTCTGTGTCAAAAGAATCAATGATTACAGATATTGTTTGTGCGATAATGTAAATAAATATAAATATGTTGGGACATTAACACAGCACCATCTAATCCCATGGTAAGCTACGAGGCTTGTGTTATGAATACCAGATAATTGATATACTACGCATATATAATTTTAAATATATACTTATTATAAATATAAACACCCATGACTGTAGTACAAACATTCATGCTCATCACACAAATGAATTCCCCCAGCGGGACTCGAATCCGCAACCGCTGGCATAGCAAGTACGGTTACCAAAAATTAAGCCACACTTGTTGAACGCTTTACAGCAATCAAATATTGTTTAATTTTTAGCAAATATTAAGCAGTAAATAACTTCAAAATTTATCATTCGAATCTTTACGGCGTGAATTTTTGAAAATGTGAAAGAAATATGAGGGTTATTATTATATAGGAAACACTGCCAACTTCCCAAAAGACCGATAAAGTAACATTCCTGATGTTCCTCAAAATTTCTTGACAGAAATATTCAATACTTGAACTTGGACGACCTGGGACTTGATTTCAGGACCTCCGGATCTCCAGCCGTAGATACTAATCACTAGACCGACGAGGCAGCTTAAAGTTTTACTAAGAATACCGGAAGTTACATCGTCATGAACTTTAGTTGTACCACAAGAGTAAGAGCGTGCAGCGTATAACATTTCGATTTAGAAACACTTGTCACGCTATTTCGATCTTTATTATATTGACAATTAAGTGTATATTCATTTGTAGGCTTGGCGTACTTTGAGAACAAGAAACTTTCCTTAGACCATGTGGGCAAGAGCTTCTTTTCAATAAGGCGCTTTGTCTTAATTGAACAGAAGTTACTGAAATACACATAGTTCTAAAAGAAATAAATACACTAGTAACGTACAAACATGCTACTCCTTAGATTATTTTTTGTAAAACACCTGATAACACTTTATAATAATTATGTGATCTGATGTAAAAAAAGTATCTGATGTAAAAATTTGATGTAAAAAAATCATGAAATATATATTTCTATTAATATTATTAACCAGCGACATATCTACGCTTCGTTCGGGTGCGCCCCTAAGTTTGTATGCGCCCCTGAGTTTGTATGGTTTAGCAAAAGCATGATAGACAAACATCCATAGAAAAAAAATCTTTGCGCCAGGAACCTTTCGCAGGAGTATATAAAATTACCCACCAAAGTTTTCTTCTCAATCGGATTAATTGTTTAGGAACTCATAGAAGACAAACATACGAACATTCATTTTTATTTATATAAATAGATAGATAAACAGAGCAAAGCTGCTGTGAGCGCCAAATCGATGGTCATTTTAAAACAACAAGTTAAAACGTTAATATTAACCAATATTTTAATGCGCCCAATTGAAGCGATAACTCCTTAATTAAATATTCCCAGAAGTTTAAGTAAGAGCAAACTATTAATTTCATCCGAGAAATCTGTGAGGCAAAGTTTTTATCGAATTACAAGGATCGAGTCTCTCCGACCGTGCAAAGTGGAACTTCTCCAGGGATTTGACACTCAAGTCATATTTCAAGCATTCGGGTCCTTCGATTTTTTGTAAAATATTCATATTCTAATCGCGTATAGGACGACACTCGCGAGCTACATAATTTTCGTTGAAAACTCGTTTCCAATATACTAAATTCTTCATATATTACGTACTATAGTATGAAGTGATATATTATACTAGCAGTATCCGCGGCTTTGCTCGCGTTCAAAGTTCTACCACCGATCGATATTCGGATCGCTACCAAACTCACCAGCTGTCTATTCTGAACATTGCCTGAAAATTTCACCAAAATCACTCCAGCCGTTTCAGTTTTTAGGGAATATATATACATACATATATAAATGAAATATGTAATATATTACATGTAATAAGTGCGAAAGCTTGCAATATGTGTGAATGGAGCACATATGCTACTGTTAGTAATTAAATTATCTCAAAGGTGTCGCTACCTGTATATAATATTATAAATACAAAAAACTTTTAGACACGTATTCAAGCAAATATAGGGCAAGTCACTAGTGTTATATTAAATTTTTGGTCTACAACTCACCTCGCTACGATGACCGGCATTAGTTGTAGCAGAAGCGTAGCCTGAGGAGCTTCCCCGCGTAGAGGTAACAGGTGAACCCGGAATTCCTCACTAGTGTGCGCTTTTACTTGCAATTTGGATGGTTCGACCTAAGTAAATGTTATGAGTTATCAAATAAGTTATTCATAGTTTAGAATAGAAAAAAATAAACTATAGAAAATGTCCAATTGTTATTTGATTTTAGCATTTTCAAGTATAACAATTCTCAGAGAGAAGCCACGTTCGTGTGAAGGTTGCAGAATAGAATCGAAGAGGTTATGTATAATAAAAATATAATATTATAGATAGGTTCAAACCAACTATTTAATATTTTATAGCAATACCGTATAAAATCTATCATGTTTGGACAACGAAAACAAATCCGGTGTAAATGATCTAAAACAAATAAGCCACAGGCAAAAACTATTAATTATTAAAAATATATCTCATCAAATATAATCACACTAAAATAAGCCATGTATGGAGATATTATAGTACACAAGAATGTGCGTAACCACAAATGGCAACGCACGCAGGATCGACTCCTGTATATTCTCTCCGAAGCATACATACTAATATTATAAATGTTAAAGTAACTCTGTCTCTTTGTCTGTCTGTTTGTCTGTCTGTCTGTTTAAAATTTGTATGAAAATAGTTTGTATCCTAGAAAGGACATATGATAGTTTTATCCTGAAAATCACCCCTTAAAGGAATGAAAACGTGGATGGAAGTTTGTATGGGGAATTAATAATTTCTTAAGTAAGGGATATAAAACACACGATACATGATTGATATATAGCCTATCTATTCTATACTAACCGCTAAAACGTAGCGAAGCGAGGGTGCGTCGCTAGATGATAATTCGAATGTAAACGACATAATAATAAGGTCTATCGAATTAATCTATGTATATATCCATATATATATATATATATATATATATATATATATATATATATATATATATATAGATAGTCTAACTTGATAGAAACTGCTATCCTGCACGCCATAATCCGGAGCGAGAACCAACTCCACACCTGTGTCCATTTCCTCAAACAAGCTACTTTTTGAATGTTCTTCACTGACTCCTACAATATGCATGGTTATAAATACTCGTATCTAAGCTAAATGAAACTATCTTTTCGGATCATTTCGCGGATTTATTTTGATTTTTGGTTCCCGACGTTTCGAATGCTTTACGGCTATCATGGTCACGGGAGAGTCTCCGAAAAGACAGTTTTATTTAAAATGTCAAATATTCGCGTAAATCTAAGAAAGTATTATATCTAAGCTAAGTTAAAGATAGATAGAATTAATGAAGACTCTTTGAAACTCTTTGAAAACGTTAGTTTCTATATAGATTGGTAAATTCTACTCATATATGCTTTCCTTAAATTTTCAATAATAAATATCATCCAATTGAAACCACTGGGTGAATCGTAGCAATCATAAAATTACTACTTTGACTTACCCTGAGGCGCGCTAACGCAGGGACAAGATGGCGTTAGCACGTCGTAGAGCCGCAGGTACAGACGAAATGGCAGGGACTCTTGAAAGTATTCTTTAACATAAAACAATAATATTATATTCATATGAACTCTATGTATTCAGGGTGTTTTTATCACGAATTTAGTAGATAAATATATACAATATCGTTTGGCTCAGTTTGCAGTGACCCTACTCGGTGCGGGTTCGAGTCCCGCTGGGGGCATTCATTTGTGTGATGAGCACGAATGTTTGTCCTTCAGTCATGGGTGTTTATATTTGTAATATGTATCTATTTAAAGTTATATATGTGTAGTGTATCGACTATCTGGTATCCATAACTTAATATAACTTACCATGAAACCGGGTGGTGTTGTGTGTTAATGTTCTAACATATTATTTTTTTATTTTAATAATATAGCTTTTTAATAAGATAAGAATAAAGGTAAAGATTGTGATATAAGTGTTCCGTTTTTGCTTTCTAGCTACGGAACCCAAATTTCTCCTCAAAATTAAAATAAAAAAAATGTTTTTTTTTTATATATCATTTAAAGATATTATAATATGAATTTATTAGTTATTATAATAGGAATTAACAGAAAACTATAGTAAAATAAAAGTATAGTCAGTAAATACGTTATCAGTACTTAGGTCATGTGTAGTTAATTAATTAAAAGCTTAGAATATGTTTCTACTTAGTAATCAACAGAATGTTAAAATTGAGAAAATATCACAGCGTGAAAGTTAATTGTGTGACGTGATTGCAGTCTAATCGAGGTCATTTAAAAAACATTTTATATCAGAAACATTAAGAGGTCCCATGGTATAGTGGTTTGTAAAATATAACAATATGTAAACTTTCGGCACGACATATAGACTATTTATTTAGATATTATTTGATAGTAGTGACTCTACTAGTTAAGTTTTAACGTTTAGTATAGATTTCTCAAAGGTGAGATATTTTCCCGCAGTAAAAAGTATCCTAAATGTTGACCCAGATAACCAGCTATCGTCATACCAAATTTCATTAAAATCTTTCCAGTGGTTTTCTCATGATGCGGTCATAGACAGACAGACAAAAATTCTAAAAACTAAATTCAACCTCTGTATCGATAATAATGACAATTCCAATAAGATTTACCAAAAAATATTCAATTTACAGATTCGACTGTTACATTTTTTTTATATGTATAGACATGGACGAATTAGAGACTGGACCAGACATAAAATACAAATGTATGAAAACTAGTTCAACCAAGTGACGCATAACGCACACAAAGATTTTATTACATTATTATAAACACTGATACACAATACAATATTTCTAGTGTTTGAACGTAATCGATAAAATGCATATATCGATGAACCAATGAATGACATTTTAGACATTGGTTAGCATAGTCATCATATTTTACATCTTTTCATTTAAAATATCTGTATTTATTATAATAAATTAAAATAAATGAATTAAAGAGGCAATAATAATGTGTCAAATAATAATTATTTTTTAATTTGATTTATATAAATACGATGGCATTGATGGCAACATTCTGTTGGCCTATAATAATGTTAATAAACAAATGAATATCGGGTGTATATTCCATTAATATATAATAAATATTATTATGTATAGATTAAAAAAATATTAAGCTAATTTAATTAAATAAAGTGATTTTGTTGATTCTGTTATTGAACTATTTTAATTGGCAATTGATTGTCTCGGGTAGTTATAAAAACGTGACACTGTCCTAATATTTCTCAGCTATTAATAAACATTTGTGAAATTAGGAAAAAGAAAAAGTGATAGCAAATTGTGAAAAAGTGAGTGTTGGATCGTGAAAGTAAAATAGTTAGTGCAAGTGGTAAAGTGTTTTATTACAAATCGCCAACCCAGAAGTTTAGTGCTAAAACATTATTGTTTGATTTTGTGTAATTTATATGTTGAAACAAAATGATCTTTATTATTATTACAATGGAATAATATTCCAAAGTGTATAAATGTGGTATAAAATAAAATAAAAAATTAAGTACACATACTAATTATAATTTTTGCATTTATATTTTTATTTGATTTAGAAAATATTTTTATAAATTTATTGTCATCAGATTGTAGGATACTGTGATAAAAGTATTTTATGTTATTGTACTGTACAAATAACACAATTCGTTCAGTTATTTCGTCAAATATCGATATATTTTTCAACATTGTCAAGCACTAGTCGATGTCAAATGGACTTACTCGACAGTTTTGTCATTTGTTCTGAATGGTATAATCCAGCCCGTTTATGATGGTTGTCAGATGTCAACAATACATAGAAATATCGACTATATTTAACATAGTTGGATAATATGACATTTTATTTTACATTTAATTAAATTTTGTGATAAATAACAATAAATGTAATAAAATAATGTATTTACAAGTGAAAAGAAATAGTGCTGCTTCCGCCGTTATAGTTTTTACACCATTTAACAGAAAATTTAGTCATTTTTGGAAGTTGTTTTGTTGACAAGTAAGTGCTTGAGACTGACACAAAAAACAAACGACCTAGGCTAAAATTCCCTGGTTACTGACATGACCGTTAAAGGTACGTCCGCTTATATGTCTGGTCCAGTGGTTAATTCGTTCATGTGTATAGATTATAGAAGCATACATAATAATATATTAATATTATAATAAGTTATTTCTTAGTTTCATTCGGCAGTTTTTTTCAGGACTGAGCCATAATTTTCCTAACAGCTGATAGAGTTTTTGAAATAATAATTTCTGAAATACCAATATTGAATAAGGAATTTTACATTTTAAATTTTAATTAATTTTATTATCATATCATGGCTTGTATTTTATTACCTACTAAAATAAATGTTACTTACTCTATATAGTTGAAGCTATCGGGAGATACTTGTGTTTAAATATTTGTAGCGGACTCCGAGGTCGATACAGACTACAGTGTAACGAGCATTGGGATGGTATCCACAATGTGAATAAATAATACGTAAAAGTGTCGTGCAGTTTACAGACCAGTAAGTACATATATACTTGTAGGATCTGCAAGATGAGTATGCATAAACTGCCTCGGTGGTGTAGTGGCTAGCATGTACGGCTGCACACCCGGAGGTCCTGGGTTCGAGTCCCGGGTCGGGCCAAGTTTAGTTATTGAGTCTTCCTGTATAGTAAGTCTCAGTAATAGCCCGGAGTTGGGAAGTTGGCGGTGTTTCACCCCCGTGCCTCGGAGAGCACTAAAAGCCGTCGGTCCTGCGCCTTAACTCTCACCGGTCGTGTCGAGTGGTCGTTAGGAATAGAGAGTGCACGTTGTGTCTGCGCGTACACTTGAGCACTATAATATCTCCTGCGCAGTTGGCGAATCTCATTGAGATTGGCCGCCGTGGGCGGAATCGGCTAGGAGAACATCATCATCATCATCATGCATAAAATGATATTTTAAGAATAAAAGGAGACGTATGTTAGAATTTTAAGAATGGAATGGAATGAAATAGATGAATAAAAGAAAAGAAAAAAGTTGTGTCATATTGACAACACCACGATACGCGTGAACATTGTTTTGTAATATTTTGAAAGGAATAAATAGTTAATAGTGGTTTAAACGCTTTTATTAGTATCCCCGGACCCTACATACATACATACAGACATACATACATAAAATATTAAAGGTCGATGCGCCTTGCATAATTTAAATCTTTATCTATATTATGTATATTGTGTGAATATCTTATTAAATTAGTCATTATTATCGGTACAGAGGCCGAATCTATAGTTTTTAGAATTTTTGCCTGTCTGTCGGTCTGGGAACGCATCACGAGAAAACCACTGTACAGATTTTGATGAAATTCGGTACGATAATAATAGCTGGCTATCCGGGATACTTTTTACTGCGGGAAAATATCTCACCTCTGAGAAATCAGTACTAAACGTAACTAAGGACGAACCCGAGCGGAGCGAGGGTGAGTCGCTAGTTTTAAATAAAATACTTTACGTTAGTTAAAGCAAATTTTACACAAATAGATTATAATAACTGTATAAATTGCTGATTGCTTTAGTTTCTCAAGTTAAATAGATTTGAGAAAATTGAAATTTGATGCTAGAGTCAAATATTGAATTAAGTACATTTGAATTGATTCAAATGTAACCTTGTATGGAAGATTACCGCACGAGTTTAACATAAACATAATTAACATAGAGAGATTATTCAGCATATATGTGAATAACGCGTCGTATTTGTTAGTAAACTATTCAGAAAGTAGTTAAGTTATGACAAAGTTTAAATTTAACATTAAACATTTGCAAAGTGAAAGTGTAAGATTGGTTTGAATACATTTAGTTATAAATCTATACTAATATTATAAAGAGGTAAAGTTTGTGAGTTTGTGACATTGTAGGGGGTAATCTCTGGATCTACTCAAGCGATTTAGATGAAATTTGGTAAGAAGATAGTTTGAGACCCTGGGAAGGACATAGGATACTTTTTATCCCGGAAATCATCCCTGCAATTGGGTGAAAATGGGGATGAAAGTTTGTATTGGGAATCGAGCTAGGGCCGAACCCGAGAGAAGCGACGGTGAGTCGCTAGTTTAGCTATAAACTATCGATACCCTCACTTCACTCGGGTTCGTTCCTAGCTGATTCTTTAAATTGACATAACTTTTTTTAATTTTTGAACCAATTGATATAAAACAAATACTACCATAATACATAAGGAAAAACCGCACCCAAATCTGTTAAGCCGTTTCTGATATTAACGCGCACGAACTTACAAAAACCCCCAATAATAGTTTTTCTCAAATATCTTCCATGTATAGACAGCGATCAGTTACACTTTTATTATATGTTGACGACTCGTTTGGTTCAGTTTGAAGTGACCCTACTTTCTGTACCAGCGGTCGCGGGTTCAAGTCCCGCTGGGGGCATTAATTTGTGTGACGAGCACGAATGTTTGTACTCCAGTCATGGGTGTTTATATTTATAATATGTATGTATTTAAAAGTTATATATGTGTAGTGTATCAACTATCTGGTATCCAGAACACAAGCCTCGTAGCTTACCATGGAACTAGATGGTGTTGTGTGTTAATGTCCCAACATATTAATTTTTTATTATTTATATGTAGATAATATATAGATGTGAAAGTAATTATTTATGTCTAATACCATTCCACGCTTAAACAATTGAACAGATTTCGATGAAATTTGGTAAGCCCCGGTCGGGACAGTTAACCATACTTTTTTACGTAAAGATCATTTGTGGGCCTAAAATTTTCATGATTTTCATTTAATTTAAACTGTAGTAAGTTTAATCAAGTTAGTGAGAGTAGTTTATCCCTAGAAATTACTTAGAAAGCTGTAAAATAAAATTGTGAACGCAAAAGAAAAGGTAGAAAATAATATATATCTATTCTTATAAAACTTAACATATAACTACGTCTGTTTTATATTTATAATATTATATATGTACATGTTTCCAACAGTAGCTTACATATATATTACTCCAGAATAGTCTATCTATACAATATAATAAGTTTCATCTAAAACCGTCGAGCAGTTTTGGAGTTTGAAGGAGTAACAAACATACACATATACATACATATATACATACATATATACATACAAACTATCGCATTTATAATAGTACTGATTTTATAACTTACCATGGTTCTTTAATATATACGGGTAGATGATTAGATCTGCTCGAGAAGTGTTCGTGAAGCGGACGTAACGCTCAGGATCGGAGGCTGACATCCTGCGAGATAAATATACTATCATCTCATCTATGTACCAAGTGATGTTGGGTTCGAGTCCCGTGCTGAATGACAAATATTTGTATGGGTCATACAAGTATTCGCCATAATCTGGGGTATATAGATGTTTCACAGTTGAGATCTATAAATAAATTGATTTATTCAATGTGCCAAAATTATAATTTGCTTTTTATTTTAAATAAAACTATCTTTTCGGATTATTTCGCGGATTTAATTTGATTTTTGGTGAATAAAACTATTTATCCGGATTTATTTCCGTTTCGAATGCTTTACAGCACAGTGACCATGATTGCTGTAAAGCATTCGAAACGTCGGGAACCAAAAATCAAAATAAATTCGCGAAATAATCCGAAAAGATAGTTTTTTACAAATGTCCTATATTCGCGTAAATCTAAGAAAATATTAATAATGAATATATTGAGATTTATTAACGTAAAATCATTTAGAAGTTTAACCAATCTCCTTCTGTCTTCTCCAACCTCCGTGATATTGGCGAAGTAATCTGTGTTCAAGTGACACGCTTTGATGCCATTAACAATAGAATTGTATTGAATTGAATCATTTAGGAGGTTATATTTTAACGTAGATAATTATATAGCTTAAGAATTAAAGTTTTATATACTTAACTATCATTGCCCGCGGCTCCGCCTGCGTTCAAATGACCAAAAACCAAATTCTTAGGTTTTACATATTACTATACTCTTACAATGCAGTTTTTGTATTTTTTCTCAGAAATTAGATATTGAAAAAGTATCCTATATGTTGACCCGGATAACCAGCTATATATCATACCAAATTTTATCATAATCTATCCAGTGGTTTTCTCGTGATGCGGTAACAGACAGACAGACAGACAGACAGACAAAAAATCTAAAAACTATAGATTCGGACTCTGTATCGATAATAATGTCGATTTCAATTAGATTTTCCAAAAAATATTTAATGTACAGATTCAACTTGGTTACAATTTTATTATATGTATAGATTATAAAACCATTTTACCAAAGCACAGGTGCGTTATCGTCATCTGCTTTCGAAGGGCGCAAGGCGAACTGTAGAGGCGAACCGGTCACCTCCACCCATACGTCTATGACTATGGCCTCTAAATGTTCCACCTGAATAATAAAACATATTATTACTAATTATTTATTTATTAATCTTTATTGCAAACACAACATAAAGAAAAATAGTACAGATGTTGTCAGATAAAGTACCTACGTAAGACATGTAAAAGTTTTATTGCTAAAAGCAATCTACAAGACAACCTTTAGTGAGAGGTTTTAATAAGACGGAAATGGGACGGTGCTTTGATTTTTTTGAGTGTTTTGATAAAACTGAAAGAAGTAAAAAATATTAAGGAAAAATATATATTCATACACATACACGTGTAAAATTGTAACAGACATGTGTCTGTACATTAAAGATAGCAATATTTTGTCAATTTTAGATTTTTCTCTCATGTTTGATTGTGTATTTGTTCTAGCATGATGCAAAAATGAATAGACCGCTTTTGATGAGAATGTGTTTTTTATGGAATAGTGACTCGCCCTCGTTTCACTCGGGTTCGTCCTTATGGTGATTCCCAGTACAAACTTTCATTTTCATTTTTAACCCCTTAAGGAATGATTTTCAGGATATAAAGTATATTATATCCTTCTTAGGATCTCTAACTATCTTCTTACTAAATTCCATCTAAATCGATTCAGTAGTTCCAGAGATTACTTCCTACAAAGAAACTCACAAACTTACAAACTTTACCTCTTCATAATATTAGTATGATACAATGGTAATTGTTTATAAAAGACTATGATTATACATACAATTGTATATTTTGCACATAAATAAATATGGTTCCATAATAATTGTAGGAGACATTGTCAATGAAAAATGTTTTTTTTTTTAAATACATTCATATTAATTAAACACCCTCCTTAATTCAGACGGCTTGCTACTGTAATGAATAAATGTCTATACAAATTTTGGTAAGCATGATGATGCGGAAATTTTATTCTCATTTCACTAATTAACGTTCTACTAATTACCTACAGATTCAATATCTCGAGTATAAATCCATATATTCTGTGCGAAAATAGTATCGATTCGTCGACTTGCTGACAAATATCTCATAATTTTTTTCTTTATCCATATACAATATGTTTAATAATACTTTCTTAGATTTACACCTATATTTGACATCAGTACAGATAAATAAAATTGAAATTTCTGTTTGTAATGTTAAAATAATAGCTTTTTACTATATACTTAGGAAAGTATATGTGGTACTTATAAGAAAAAAAAACAATTTTCAAAATGTTTGTATGTCTGTCTGTTTATCTATCTGTTTGTATGTTTGTTCCGGGTAATAATCGAAACATGGTCAATTTTAACGGAACCTTCACTGGCAGATAGCTGATATTATAGGGAGTAACTTAGACTATATTTACAATAAAAAAAAATCGAGTTCCGCGCAAAAAATTAAAATCCATGAAATCGTGGGCGCATCCGAGCGAAGCGGGGGTAACTCGCTAGTTTTAAAATAAAACAAATTTTTCGATATTTTCGCTGATCTACTATGATTTTTCGTTCCCGGCGTTTAGAATTCTTTACGGCAATCATGGTCACGAAAGGGATTTTATTCTAAAATGTAATATTAAATATACAGTCAGCGTTTAATTTAATCTTGATTGGGTTAAAAAGCTTTTTAACATTTAACTGTACAAATTACTTTCCCATAGCCGTAGGCTTTAGAATATCTTATTGTAAAACGTTAATCAAACCACATATAAAAGTAGGTTTCCACTAACAATATAAAACACTAAACTGTTCATGTTCATGGGACGGTGCCAAATTGTCACGACTTAACGATGTTCCCGACTAAAGTGGCTTTAGGAGCACTGGGCTTCTTCAATAAAGTTACGTAACAAAATTTGCTGCCAATATTTCAATATTATTTAATTTCATCATGTCTTCTAACTCTTACGAAATTGTGTGGGGAAAAATGCCAACTTAGATGTTTTGCAGATATTTTTCTACCATTTTTTGTCAATTTTCGAAGAAGTTCGAAGTTCGAAACGTCAGATCGAATAACGACAAAGCAAGTACAAACTTAGCAAATTCTTCAAAATAAAACCAAGAATTTCTCTTCTCATTTCTAAAGTCTGAGTCTTTAGTAATTAAGTAATTCTATATTCATAGTATGCCAAAAGATATTTTATTAAGATTCAAAGATAAAAATCAAATTTAGTTTAGTCTTTCATAAAAATATCCAAATTACTATGAAATGAAATATGATTATTATATAAATGTTAATAATTTATATGCAAATTAATAAAGTTTGACTCCTTAATTAATAAAGGTTTAGATTAAACCACACTCGTCTCTCACTGCTCTAATTAATATGAAATGGCAACAAACGAGTCAAGTTAACAAATTTTAACAATCTATTTGTAATTACTATTAGGTGACAATAAAATATGTTTATGTATTCAGTATATATTGTGTTCACTGCCTCGGTGGTTTAGTGGCTAGCATGTATGGCATACATACCCGGAGGTCCTGGGTTCGAGTCCCTGGTCGGGACCAGTTTAGTTATTGAGTCTTTGTGTATAGTAAGTCTCAGTAACAGCTTGGAGTTGGGAAGTTGGCGGTGTCTCACCCCCCTGCCTCGGAGAGCACGTAAAGCCGTCGGTCCTGCGCCTTAACTCTTACTGCTTGTTTCGAGCAGTCGTCCCACCGGAGTATGAGAGTGACAGGAATAGAGAGTGCACGTTGTGTCTGCGCGTTCACGCGCTGCACTATAATATCTCCTGCGCAGTTGGCTAGTCTCAGTGAGATTGGCCGCCGTGGCCGGAATCGGTCATGAGAACATCGTATATTGTGTATTCAGCTCTTTTTAACATCCCACTGCTGGGCAAGAGTCTCTCTTCAATACAAGGGGGATCAGGGCCTCCACGCCTGGCTCAGGGCCTACAATGTCTATTTTACAGTACAACTTATAAATTAAAAAACTAATCCAATACAAATTCTAACGAAGTAACTTTATTGAATGAACAGATAAGGACCGGGTTATTAGTATTTGTTTATATAAAACGTCTGTATAACCATCGGGTTCCGGCCCACATGTGGCTAACGATGGGATATGAATTTATGTATGTATTAATCCAGAAAGCTGGAAGGCTATTTATTCTACGTATAAGATACAAGTTCTGAATATTGAGCACATCTTACTAATGTTATAAATGTGAAAGTTTAGATTTTTGGTTGTCTGTTACTTGTAGAATGGCTGAACGGATTTGGATGAAATTTGGCACAGAGATACTCATATACTACTTTTTGTTCTAGAAAAATATACGATTCCCGTGGGATAGATTCGATTTTGTTTTTCTAGAGGCGAACCCGAGCGAGGTGAAGAAGCGAAGAAAGAACTATTTTCTCGGATTTTTTCACAGATTTATTTAGATTTTTGTCTTTAAACTTTCATGGTCACTGACAAATGACAATAATGTTAGGACGTAAACCCGATATTTACCATGTATAGAATTTATATTCCTACTAGTAAGATTGCCGAAATATCGGAAACTCTCAAAAGTAAGTGCTAAACGTGTTAAATATCCCATTTTACATCATAACAGTGTCTCAGAAAGTATTATTGGACCACATAATTTGGGACATGTGTGTAATTTAAATAATAACATTTAAAAAAAATTGTGTAGCTATAATCAAGAATTAATTGCTTTAATTACAAAATTTTGTATTATATTTTGACGTACAAGAAGCAAAACAGACGTTCAGTTCATTGTACTAAATGATTCAATTATAATACCACAGTAGTTAATTGGACCACTTAGCTGCTATTATTAGACTTCAATAATTCAGTTTCTTGCTCTATATTATGCCGTTTTATCGTTGGAAAACAGAAGATTATTATAAAATACCCAAAGAATAATATAAAAATCCACTTCATTACTAATAAAATTTTAGCATAGACTTTTGGGCTTCATGCGGTATGATTAATTACATAAGTAAAATTGTGACCTTTTACAGGCCATCAATAATACTACACATAATATCTCTAAAACGGAAATAAAAATCTAAAATTTTTAAACATATATTGGGACACATGATACTAATGTCTGGTCTCATGTAGGATAAGTAGATTGTATTGCAATATTGTAAGCAAATATTATTTTAAAAGAGCAATTGTTGAGTTTTTCGCCGGTACTTCTCGGCGGAACTGCTTTCCGAGCCGGTCGTAGATTCCTGACGGACTTACATATTGAGATTTAATTTAAATGTAAAGAGTGAGAATGATAGGTGCTTGTAAAAGTCTAAGTATTTGAAAAAAGTATATTTAAATTTGATTTAAGAAATACAATTGTTAAACCAAACAATGTATGTATTACTCACGCCGTCCTCATTTCTCAACTTGACAAACTATTTGTTCAAATTCAATCGAAATAAACCAATTTCTTCGAAACTTGCGAATAAAATAAAAGCGCTATTTTTCTTCGTCCATTGTTTTAGTGAAATGTAATAAACAAATACAATCATTTTGAAAGCAGAATAGAATAAACATTTATTCGCTTTCCTACCTTCTCGTATTCGTAAATTCGTATTGTAAGATCTCCTTGTTGTAATTTTATTTTTAGACTGACTTAATACTTGTCGATATTTTAATTAATTGTAATATGTACTATATAGCATATAAGTCGTATTAAATAGAACTATCTTTACGAACTTTTTCGCGGATTTATTTTCATTTTTGGTTGTTTCGAATGTTTTACAGCAATTATGGTCACGGGAGAGGTCTCCCCCGAAACCGTCCGAAAAATTAGAATTTAAAATGTCAAATATTCGCGTAAATCTAGGAAATTATTAAATAATATTATTTATAACAAGCTTACTTTTATTAGGATTTCAAAAATGTTTGTAATGTAATAGAATCATCTTTAGTATGGACTTCTTCAAGTGAAAGGTGGAAATTTATATGAGACCGTTTCTCGAGGTTTATATAATCTATTAATTGAAAGAGAATTATGAAAATCAATTAAAAATTGGCGAATATATCTCGTAATATTATGCCCAATTTAAAGTACTGAGTACCTAACTTCTCCTTTCGGTCGGTCGGTTTTGATCAAAATATTAGTCGTTAAACTTTCATGGTCACTGACTGACAATTTATTTATTATGTAATACGAAATATTGAGAACTTTCGAAGTAAGTGTTGACGGTAAATATCCCGTTTTACATCATAATATTTTGGTCGGTCAAAAATTTGCTTATAATATTTGCATGTAATAAGCATAGCTCTTTGAGGTAACAAAAATCTAAAGTTAACATGTGTTCAGCCCTTTTTAACGTCCCACTGCTGGGCACGGGCCTCCCTTCAGTACGAGGGGGATCAGGCCATAGTCCACCACGCTGGCCAAGTGCGGGTTGGCGGACTTCACATGTCTTTCGAAAACTTGCTAGGTTCTCTCAGACATGCAGGTTTCATCACGATATTTTCCTTCACCGTAAGGCAAGCGGTAATCATGTTAGAAATGATTCGCACATGAAAATATCAGAGGTCGAGACCCGGGATTTGAACCCGCTTCACTCAGTGTCCCAAGCGAGCGCGTTACCACTGGGCTACCACTGCCTTAGCATATTTTATATAAAATTACCAGTTCATAATCACTTAAACAACTAATTTTCTGAAAAGGACTTATTTATAACTAGCGACTCACCCTCGCTTCTCTCGGGTTTGTCCCCTGGTACGTTTTAAGTTTAGTATAGATTTTCCAGAGATGAGATATTTTCCCGCAAATTGTGATGTGATGTTCAATGTCAAATATTCGCGTAAATCTAAGAAACCACTAGTTAATTATAAAAATAGTTGCTTGTAGAATCCTAAGAACATCTTTCTAGAATCTCTCTTCTATCTCTCTCTCTCTTTCTATACTCTTCTAATCTCTTTCTAGAGTAGTTCAGTAAAATAACATATATACATATTTCTTTATAATACCTATAAATATTTACAAAATATAATACCTGTATAACTATTTGGTCATGATAAAGTCCCCAGCTGTCAGCACATACAGCTACAGTCAGCTTGACGAGCCCGCGCGGTGGAAGTTTGCCGGCCGCGGGCGCACACTGCAGAGCGACGCCTGGCGCGACGGACCAGGGCACTGTTTATAAAATATCATGAAAAACTTTGAAATCCTTACCTATCTATCTATAACTATCACGTCTGATGCAACTATACCTGAATCACATCCTAATTTACACGTGTAATTTATTTATTCAAATATTAGAAAAAACAAAAACAAATCTATCCCTCGAGAACCGTATATTTTTCCGGGATAAAAAGTAGCCTATGTGTTATTTCAGACTATAATCTATCTCTGTGCCAAATTTAATCCGGATCCGTTCAGCCGTTTTGGCTTGAAACAAACAAACATCATCAACAAACATCCATCCATACATACTCACATACTTTCACATTTATAGTATTTGTACATGTTATTATATATATATATATATATATATATATATATATATATATATATATATATATATATATATATATTAAAAAGCAAAACCTAATCTAAATACAAAATATGATCTAAATCATTCGAACTGTTTCCGAGATACATCAAATTTATATATGTTATATACAAGAATTGCTCATTTAATATTATAAGATGGATAGTGACTCCGCCCCTAAGCGAGCTGACGTAACGTTCGATAGCCTTCCTTAATAAAAAGAATATAAAACACAAAAACAATTTAATTGGATTGCTAGCTTATAAGATTTACGAGTACAAACGGACAAAAATACTAACATACTCATCAACTTTATGTATATATGGTTAGTGTAGACATCATATTGTTATATAAATAAATAATAAAGGGACACAAACATACATAATTGAGGCAAAGTAGTTGCGCGGAGAAAAATTCGTATTAGAGGGCGACGAATCAGTAATCTATACATATAATAAAACTAGCGGCTCACCCTCGCTTCGCTCGGGTTCGTCGCTAGGTACGTTTTAAATAGATATAAAAAGAAAAAATCTTTCTTTCTCACATTTTAATTATATGTTTTAATACTTACCTATTCCGGACTAAGAGAAATCCAAAAATTAAAATATCATAAAAATTGGAACGCGGTCGAACGGGATAAAAAGTATCCTATGTCCTTCTCCTGGCTCTAAACTACCTCCCTGCCAATTTTCAGCTAAATCGGTTCAGCCGTTCTTGAGTTATAAGCGAAGTAACTAACACGACTTTCTTTTATATATATAGATTGTGACTAAGTCGAATCTGCACATTAAATATTTTTTGGAAAATCTTATTGAAATATACCTTATTAACGATACAGAGGCCGAAACTATAGTTTTTAGAAATTTTGTCTGTCAGTCTGTCTGTTACCGCATCACGGAAAAACCACTGGAGGGATTTTAATGAAATTTGGTATGGTTATAGCTGGTTATCCGGGTCAACATATAGGATACTTTTTACCGCAGGAAAATACCTTATTTCTGAGAAAAAATACAAAAACTGCAATGTAAGAGTACCTATACAAATATGTAAAACCTAAGAATTTGGTTTTTGGTCATCTAAACGCGGGCGAAGCCGCGAGCAATGCTAGTTATCATATAAATAAATAATAAAGGGACACAAATATACATTATTGAGGCAAAGTAGTTGCGCGGAGAAAATATATTTTGTACAAGAATATATCCGTATTAGAGGGCGATGTATCAGTAATACAATATAAAGTAACATAGCGAGAGTATTAGGTCAACCAATAAAGATTTATCATCTGAAAATATTTTCTTTTTTCTGAACAATGCCTTACTTTAGAATTATCCATGGGTATAATATCTATGAAATACTACTAGTTTCCGTCCAGTGGTCGAAATTCGGCCTTAATAATTATTGAAAATTTGATATTGTTTTTTAAATAAAACTATCTTTTCGGATTTTTTCGCGGATTTATTTAGATTTTTGGTGCCCGACGTTTCGAATGCTTTACAGCAATCATGGTCACGAGAGACTGAGGTGTTAGCTGTCTCGAAGGTATAGTTGTTACAGACAGCCTACCCACAATTAACAAAATGAAAATTGCACCAATTACGAGTACCTTACAATATTTTTTAACTTTAAACATTTTTATAATTTTAATTAGTTTTATAATTGAATATGGAAAATTATTTATTTAATTTTTGCTGTTATTATTATAATTATTACGATTTTAAAAATATTAATTAGTAATCTATATTTAGTGTTGCCATTATTATATTTATAACCATAAAGAAAAATTTAAAATATAGTATTCATTATTTAAGCCATATATTGTTCCATGTGTAAGTTAATTAAGGATAATAATTTTAATTTAGTTTGCTATTATTTAAAAACTACTTACTAAGCAACACTATTACTATATACTTTAAAAAATGAAAAATGAAAAATATTAATCGGATATGCTGTAATTTTAATCCACACAAAAAATTCAAATCCGCGAAATAATCCGAAAAGATAGTTTTATTTAAAATGTCAAATATTCGCGTAAATCTAAGAAAGTATTATTAATATTGCTTGTCAATAGTTACTAAAAAAAGATAAAAAGAGGAGAAAAATGTACTGAACTTTTTTTGACTTTGCCTAATTAATATATAGCTAAAACTACAAAAACCTCTTTGGTTTTATGTTATTAGTAATAATTTGATTGCTGTATTTAAGATTTTATTTTTTTTTATTTTAAAAGTAAGATAGGTACACTTAGGGTCTTATACAAACCGTCATCCCCTATTTTACCTCCTTATGGGATAAATTTGATGAATAGAATTAAAACCATGTTTAAATATTCTGACTATAAATATTTTTTTGGGTTGTATTATAACGTGTTTTCCCGTGGGAATGAGATAATCTCCGGCGGTAAAAAAAACCTATATCACTCTTCAGCCCTCCACCTAACTCCACACAAAAAATCACGCCAATCCATCACTCTGTTTCGACGTGAAAGAAGGACAAACAAACAAACAAACACACTTTCACATTTATAATATTAGTATAGTATATGGATTATGTAAGACTTTTAATTTTCAGCTCTTAGTCTTCAAAAAGCTTTTCACATTGATAGAGATTTTAATAATATAATTTAAATTATAGTTCTCTATAATGGATCCTTTGATGCGCCTTTGAATAAATTATTTTTGTTTCAACATTACATTCGTTAAAACACGAACGAAACTTTTAAAGTAAATTACATTTCAGTCAGAGGCAGATCGCAATTTGAACAGTTCTTTCATTTAGTCGATAATTATTTAAATCGTAAAACACTTTAATTGAATTCCGAGAAGAAAATTAGGATTTTATTATACTGCAGTTCGTTGTGACTTCAACTGTAGATCGTTTCGGACGTGTATTGGTTCATCGTCTCGTGAACACTTTGTAACAAGATTGCTTCAGTAATAAAATACATTTAAATTTTACAGATTTACTTGGTGTAAACGAATTATTTTGTATTAGTTTTTTATTGGTAAGCGAGGTCGGGGTAAAAGATACCCCGTATGCCCTTACCCTGTTTAGTGCCCCATGTGGCTATAATTGTTTGACAAGTTTCATCAACATCTGATTAGCAAATTAAGAGTGAAAAAGTATCAAAAACATACAGATTTATATTTATAACTAGCAGAACCCGGGGATTCGCCCGCGTTCAATCTACAAAAAAAAATTTTTTTGCTTTATGTTATATAGCGAATTACGCTCGCTTCGCTCGTGTTCGTCCCTATGTTTTAAGGTTGGTATAGATTTCTCAAAGATGAGATATTTTCCCGCAGTAAAAAGTCTCTTATATTTTGATCCGGATAACCAGCTATCATCATACAAAATTTTATCAAAATATGTTCAGTGGCTTTCTCGTGATGCATTCCCAGACAGACAGACAAAAATTCTTAAAACTATAAATTTGGCCTCTGTATCGATAATAATGACTATTTCAATAAGATTTTCCAAATAATATTTAATGTACAGATTCGACTCGGTTAGAATTTTAGTATATGTACCTGTTGATTAATTTTAAGGTTATATTATTATTCTATAATATTTCGATTTGGCCTAGGTATATTCAGGCCAGACACTCTTATTATGGACAGTAGCAAATTAATGGAGCACGAGCCCTATAGCTTCACAAGTTTTAATAGTTATAGCAGGAAAGGTGGTGAAAAGTTAAGATTACAGGCCGAAAAGGAAATGAGATGTCTCCGGTCGGCTCGCAGTGCTGCTAAGGACGTGACGTCTAAAGTTGCCTTCCCACGATATGAGTTAAATGGGCTATATTAATAACTAGTGGCTCACCCTTGCTTCGCTCGGGTTCGTCCCTAGGTACGTTGGGAATAGATAATATAAATAGTTATTAGCCAGCGTTAGCCATATAAATTTGAATTTTATTTTCGTAAATTTTTCATTTTTCCTCTTTATTAAAACCTTCCGTTGACCTTAAGGAACATACGAAAAAAAAGCAGAATTAGTCCAGCTATTCTTTGTGTTATGCGCTTACCAACATTCATTTTTATTTATATATGAAGATATATAAGTGCTAAACAGTAACCTATAATATGTTGTATTTTTCATCCAAATTCGTCCAGTCGTTTTAGCGTGAGAAGTTAAAGTATAGCCAAAACTAGATATAAGCCCGATACTGCTTTTATATATAATATTCTGTTACTATATATATATATATATATATATATATATATATATATATATATAATATTTTTTCGATGAAAATGGAGCGAAATGATACCTTATTAGCTTAACGTTGGTATCAGAATTCGCGCGCTGTGGAATATCGGCTTTACATGAACACAATATACTTTTAGTTGGATAGTGAAATTGTAACGTGGGAAGATCTGAGCTTTGACCCGTATATTCCTTTGAGCTTTTTTCACGTCCGGCTATTAATCTTTGCGTTCACCGTGTTTAGCGTGTTAAGTGTTACCTTTTATATTATACTAGGGACATAACCTCGCCTTGCTCGTGTGCATCTCTACTCTCTAGGTACCACTCGGTACCCCCCCACGTGCGTTCACCTTGTCGTGGTGGAGGGAGCTCAGATCCGAAGCCCGAACCCGAAGCTAAGAAACGCACCGGGAGGTTGCCCACTTCGGTGGGCGGTGGGAGGTGGCCCTCTTCGGGGGGCGGTGTACCATGCGGGTTGCTCCTGGTACTTCTCTGATAGCAGAGTAGACCTTGGAGCAACCCCGTGGTTGTTGTGGTCTGCTTCGGCAGACCTGCCGTTAGGGCGTCGTAGTTGAATGCGTAAGCGATCCTGCGACGCCCCATTAAGACGGGGGAAGGTTTTGTTGGGTTTTAGTGGGTATTACGCCGGTGAGTCCCACACGTCGTGCGTAAATGCATTTCCCAACGTTAAAAAAAAGGTACCACTCGGTAACCTAGGTGTACTAAATTTCAATCAAGTCTGTCTGCTGCTGTGCTATTTCAGAGTAAGTTGTAACTAACACGCACTTATACAAACTTTCACATTTATAATAATAGTCCATAATCTACAGGTACTAATATTATAAAGAGGTAAAGTTTGTGAGTTTGTGACGTTGTAGGGGGTAATCTATGGATCTACTGAACCAATTTAGATGAAATTTGGTAAAAAGAAGGACATAGGTTACTTTTTATCCCGGAAATCATCCCTTAAGGGGATGAAAATTGGAATGAAAGTTTGTATGGAGAATCAACCTAGGGAAGAACCCGAGCGCAGCGAGGGTGTGTCGCTAGTAAAAATATAAATTTTGTTCAAAATAGTTTTTGTCATTTAACTCCGAAGTCCGAACTAAGCATTGGATTTAATTTTGTTTCAAATTAAGCTACAAATAAGTTTTATCAGAAGAAGCTAACACAAGTTTTTTCGATTTCTCCCTTGATTGTTTCCTGTTATTTCTTCCTGTATAAGGAATAAGGGAGTCATTTCATCCCCCTCGTGCATCGTTGAAATTTATAACCTTGTGTAAGCTCCCAGTTATCTTCTTTATATGGCGGTTCTTTTGATCTATTGCTATAAGATTGTAAGCAAGTCGAGTTATATAATATACTTGAAGAACGCAATTTCTATACGCTATTTACATATGAAAGTAATTCTTTTGTAGAGACCATTAGATGTAACTTAATTCATACTGTGTGTATCGCAATAATAGACATTCAGGTTAGATAATATTTTTTATCTATAAAAGTAGCAATAGTGCTGCTTAATATTTTAACTTTAAATAATAGAAATCTAAATGGTGAATTAGATCCCCTTCCTCTTATTCTACAAAGTCGAAACTTTATAACGTTGATGTAGTTTCGAAGACAATGATCTTTTACGATATTTATGACCTGGTTTCCCATCTACGTTTGGCTCCAGATGAAGCAACTCCTCAACAGCCAACAGTACAGACATACATAAATAAATAAATATTTTGAGACATTAACACACAGCACTACCTAGTTCATAGTAAGCTACGAGGCTTGTGTCATGGATACCAGATAGTTGATACACTAAACATATTATATAACTTTGAATACATACATATTATAAATATAAACACCCATGACTGGAGTACAAGCATTCGTGCTCATCATACAAATGAATGCCCCCGGCAGAACTCGAACCCGCGACCGCTGGTACAGCAAGTAGGGTCACTGACAAACTGAGCCAAACGTGTCGTCAAATTATTTATACAAGCTATGAAAATGATTTTGAGAACATTGTAATGTTGATGTAATATTATTACAAAACACTTTAACACTTTACGGTATATTATGTACTAGCATTGCCCGCGGCTCCGCCCGCGTTCAGATGACCAAAAACTAAATTCTTAGGTTTTACATATTAGTATACTCTTACAATGCAGTTTTTGTGTTTTTCTATTTTTTCTCAGAAATGAGATATTTTCCCGCGGTAAAAAGTATCTATATGTTGTAAGTACCTATATGTTGACCCGGATAACCAGCTATCATCACACCAAATTTCATCAAAATCTGCCCAGTGGTTTTCTCGTGATGTGGTAACAGACAGACAGACAGATAGAAAGAAAGACAGACAGACAGACAGACAAAAATTCTAAAAACTATAGATTCGGACTCTGTATTGATAATAATGTCTATTTCAATTAGATTTCCCAAAAAATATTTAATGTACAGATTTCACTTAGTTCGAATTTTATTATATGTATAGATTTATAACGACCATCTCAGCGGAAGTAGAGTCCTTGAGCATATTTAAGCATTTCAAAATCCCAAATGAATAAGAAATTTGAATCTCTCTTATACATTAAATTAACTGCATTTGGAGTTTATAGTTTGAGTAACTAACCGTTCCGTGCGTTCCATTTACGCGGCCATCGTCGCACTGCGGAGCGCCAGTGTGCTGCCGTGTCTCCTTCGTTACGTAGAACCACAGTGCGAGATCGTACTGTAGGTACACATATTTGAAGCTTCAATAATGCTATTATTATGAGCTATAAAACAAATAGGATTTGTCGTACAAACAGATACACTAATATCTGAAATAGCACGTATACTAATGTTAGATACCCGAGGGTAGCTCGATAGTTAACTTACGTTATTAATAATTATTTACTACTTTACATTTGCTAGTTCTCTATGAATCACGAGTCCTTAAACAAACATAGAGAATAAAATCAAAACATATTTGATTGCATCTCAATATATTGATATTAAAACTGCTCGGGCAGTAATGACAAAACCTTCAAAAGAAAGAAAAGTAGTAAAGAAATTGAGGGCAGATTTGTGGTTCGCAACCACTTCTATCTCAGTGAGATTTGCTACTCAGATAGACATAAGATTATTTATGAATTTATCTAAAACTAGTGACTTATTCTACCTACCTTTCTTCCCTTGGTACCTAGCACTAGCCTTTGATGTGTATATGTGTGGGTGTACACACACACGCACTATCGCACCCACACATACAAATATTCGCAATTATAATAGTTTCCAGATATCTATCTTAACTATCCAGAGACCCACTTAAACATAATGAAAAAAATTATTAAAATCGATCCAGCCGTTTAGGAGGAGTTCAGTGATATACGCACGTAAGTAAGATAGCATAATTTACCGGTGTTCAAAGGGAGTTTTCTAAACTGTAAGCAATAAGGTTCAGTTTGCTCCGGCAGCATCGGCTTGGAACAAAACGTACAGCGACACACGCGTGTGAGAGGAGGAGTGTCCACTGTAACAAAAAATTAAAATAATAAAAATGCTGTGCACTTGAAAATGGCTGGACCGATTTAAATAGCTTTGATTCTAAAATGATCGTAATAGTTCGAATAAGAGGAAAAAAATCCCTGAAAATTGGGAAAATCGGGACAAATTAAGTGTTTTTTTGAATGGATTTTGTTTATGATATTAAAGATCACAAATATCAAAGTCTGTCATATCAGAAATAATTATGTACATATTGATTTAAGCCCATTTAACGTTATAGTATTGGTTGGACATGGGCTCCTTTTATTCGAGCGAGGATTAAGGTATAGTTCACCAAGCTAGCCAAATGTGAGTTGGCAGAGTTTACAAGACGTTTGGACCATTTCCCCATTTCATAGCAAATGGTAAACATATGCAAAACTGAGAGTTCTAGACATGAGCCCTGGGATTTCTATCCGCTTCACTCTGTTTCCATAGCGATGGAGCATATCCTATAGGCATGTGAAGTCCTTATTAATTATTAAATATATAATTAATAATAATAGAAGATTATATATTAATCAACCATACATTTTTCTCGGATAAAAATAACCAATGTCCTATTACAGACTAAAATCTATCCCTGTCCCAAACATTCAAATCCGTTCAGCCATTCTGGTGTGATTGAGGAACAAGCATCCATCCAAACATCTAAACTTTCACATTTGTAATATTAGTATAGATTTTTATTTAATCAATATGGTTAAGAAAGCAGAGAAGAAAATACTAGGTTCATTCGTACATTAAGAAAATCGAACCCGTGATAAACACTTATATACGCTGCTAAAGTTTAAGTTACAAATAACTAATAGGTTTTACCGATTTCAATTGGGGAGTATTCGTCCGGTCCTTTCGGAGGTTGGGGCTTCTTCACTCTAGGAATGTACACCATCTTCTTTGGGCAGTGGCATATATTTTCTGTAGTATAGAACAAGATAATTATATAAAGTTATGTATCGGTTAAATAACGTAAAAGTGATGTATAATTTAACCGAGTATTACTAAGTCTATTTGAATGGAATTTAGTTCCAGATTTTATAATGAAAAATATGAAGAATACTATTGAGTAATATATATATACGTGTTAATATATTGTAAATATTAATAAAATAATAAATTATAATGGGGTAAAATTTATATAAATTAATTTGTAAGTTTCTGCAACCAAAATGCTAAAATGGTAGTACTTAATAGTGGTACGTAAAAAAAAAGTGTGTGTGTGTGCGTGCGTGCGTGCGTGCGTGCGTGCGTGCGTGCGTGCTTGCGTGCGTGCTTGCGTGCGTGCGTGCGTGCGTGCGTGCGAGCGTGCGTGCGTGCGTGCGTGCGTGCGTGCGTGCGTGCGTGCGTGCGTGCGTGCGTGCGTGCGTGCGTGCGTGCGTGCGTGCGTGTGTGTGTGTGTATAACTTCAAAAAATATTTCAGTTACATGATCTGTGCATTACTTGAGAACGACAGATTAACGGTCACAAAAAAAAAAAGAAATAAATACACACAGCCCTAACTCCTGAATTAGAAAACTGTGTTTCAGGAGCTAGTACCTTCCCATATCAGGCGTACATATTCATTGCATGAAATTACGTTATAATAAGGTAAGTTAATGTAAACAAAAAAGGAAAAAGAAAAAAAAATATTAAAAATTATCATTATAATATTTTTTTAAGAAATACAAATTTATTTTAGCTTGATAAAAAACTTAAATGTAATTTTCTAACTAAAACCTCAGTCGGCCTCGAGGCACTTTCAGTAAATTGAATCTAAACACATTAAATGAGAGTCGGCTAAGTGGGAGTCCGCGGACCGCACACTTTATTTTATGTTACGTATTTACCAATAAAATACGATTTCATATTAAAATAGTCAAAGAAGCTATGTCCGTATGAAAAATAAAAAAAAAACATGATTCAAACTCCATATATGAAGCTTAGATAAAATTACAGGTGAAAATGTGAGCGTGTAAATTTTTAGATATTTTTTAAAAAATTTGAGGTAATAGAACTTTTTGATAATCTTTTAATATTTTGATAATTTAACAGCGAAAAAATTAACTTTTAATATATGTACAATGTAACATCTATACAAATAAATAATATTGATGTGTCTATTTGTAGCATCGAAATAATAGCTTTTTACTAAATGTATATGAAATTACATACAGTACTTATAAGATTTTTTTAATTTTTTTTACTGTCTGTCTGTTTGTTCCGGTAAATCTCTGAAACGGCTGGACTGATTTTGAAGTGACTTTCACTGGCAGATAGCTGATGTTATAAGGAGTAATTTAGAGTAATTTTATTTGAGAAAAAGAATTAGGGTTCTCGTCAAAAAAATCGTACCTAGGGAAGCGATGATAAGTCTCTTATTCCTAATATAAAAATATAATCTTTGAGAAATAAATTAAAGTGAGTGAAATGTATATATATATATACATATATATATATATATATATATATATATATATATATATATATATATATATATATATATATACATATGTATGTAGATTAAGTAAATGAGTTAAAATAAACAAAGCTACAAAGATAAATGGCAAAAACATTCAGAAAGCTCGTTTAAAACTAAAAGCTGTAAATATATCAACAGTTGGTGAGTCTCGTCGTTTTTATTGTGCAATTAACTGCCTCGGTGGTGTAGTGGCTAGCATGTACGGCTGCACACCCGGAGGTCCTGGGTTCGAGTCCCGGGTCGGGCCAAGTTTAGTTATTAAGTCTTTCTGTATAGAAAGTCTCAGTAACAGCCCGGAGTTGGGAAGTTGGCGGTGTTTCACCCCCGTGCCTCGGAGAGCACGTAAAGCCGTCGGTCCTGCGCCTTAACTCTCACCGGTCGTGTCGAGTGGTCGTCCCACCGGAGTATGAGAGTGATAGGAATAGAGAGTGCACTTGTGTCTGCGCGTACACTTGAGCACTATAATATCTCCTGCGCAGTTGGCTAATCTCAATGAGAGTGGCCGCCGTAGCCGGAATCGGCTAGGAGAACATCATCATCATCATCATTGTGCAATTAAGTTCCGAAGTGTTATTTTATTGTTCTAGACTGATTTAATTGTATCTAGGAATAAATTGGTCTGAAGCTTTTGTTAAAATTCAAACGAATTGGGCACCTTCTCTTTTTGAAGTCGGTAGAAAGTTCGGGTGAAGTCGGGAGAGGTTGATAGTAATAAATAAAATGCTAGATGGCCAATATTTAATTTTTAAAATAATATACACGTTATCTATACATATAATAAAATTCTGAGTCGAATCTGTAAATTTTTTTTTGTTAATCTTATTGAAATAGTCATTATTATCCGTACAAAGGCCGATTCTAGTTTTTTAGAATTTTTGTCTGTCTGTCTGGAACCCATCATGAGAAAACCACTGGACAGTCAACATATAGGATAGGTACTTTTTGGTGCGGTTAAATATTTCAGCTCTGATAAATCTATACTAAACGTGAAAACATAAGAACTAACCCTAGGGACGAACCCGACCGAAACGAAAGTGAGTATTTAGCATTATTAATAAAACAATTTTTTTTTATTTCACACTTTTATTCATTTTTCAATATTTTCCGATGCCATTTCTTCTTTTCCAAATTAATGTAAATAATCTTGAGAGAATGAAATTTTGGGAACCAAAAATGGAAATAAGCCAATGAAAAAATAAACAATTACAAAAAAAATAGCTATATTTAAAATAAACATATAATATATAGTTCCTCCAAAGTGACATCAGCCTGGTTGTCAAAAATTACTTACGTTTTCTGTATGAGTTTCTTCCCCTACCAGATCGCCCGTAGAGGATCGTATCACTCAATTTATTTTAGATAATATAATTCAGATAGATCTTTTTCTGTTCCTTTTACGATATGTGATCTACTTAAATGATATAAACTTAGTTTTCTTTGAATCTATACTCAATACTTGACTTCTTTTGGGTGCTTTAAGTTTGAATAAATCAAATCTATTGGAATGAGATGTTTATGAGTTGAGACTTGATTTTTTTTTAATTATTTAACTAGAATCTTTAAAAATATACGACGTTATTTGAACAGGAAATAGCTTTTAATAAGCAGGTAATTAAAAATTTATGGACCTTCAAGAAGCTTCCATTGCTAAGTTCAAAACAAAATGTTAAATAAGTAAAGGTTTATTATGCAATAAATAATTTTATAGAAAATGTAACACGCGTTGGGAGTGATATGATTGCGCACAGGCTATTTCAATGTTAGAGAACAATTGCAATTTATAATTTTATTTACCAAAATATAAAGATAAAATAAAAATATTACATCCGTTGAATTTATTTCGAAAGTTTTTCTCAGGACAGAAACTCTTGTTTCCTTTCGAACATGTAAAAAACTACGTAGTATAAAATTGTAACAATTTAATAGAGACTCTACCTATAGAACTAATTTATACTAAAAAAAAAATCAGATATGGCTGTGTCGGGGCACACCGGCGTTGGTTTAACATCTATTTCACCGAGTCAATTCAGTGTTTATGTTTTTTTATATCTTGCTTATTCGAAAACTAATTTGGAAAAATAGTTATTTTTAAAGATAGCAACGGAAAGAATATCATATTATATAATTTTTCAGAAAATAACAACGGTTACCATGGCAACCTAATGCAACTTATATCGCTACGGTTCACTTTTCTGATCTGGCCCGTATGTTTTGGTTTGATTTTAAACACGTTTCACGTCAATATACTGGTGAAAAGCTAAGAATTGTGAGAATGACATCAAATTGCGGTTTTACATTTTCACATTGGCAGAAATAAGACGAAAAATACAATACTGTAGAAGTTGAAAGATAGGAGAGTGAGGAAAACGTATAAAAGGCAGCGCCAGCGCCCGGCGCTCGCTTTTGCTGTTCGGCTGTCATCGGGTCAACATCTCGGCAACGTCATTCTGTCCGTCAGGTTTTTCGTTAGATTGTTACGTAATTGTTGTAATTGTTTTAGAGGTCTTACATTTTTAGTTTTCGTTTCATTTAATTTTGGTTTGTTAAAATTAATTGTTTTCAAAGTAAATTTGATTTGTAAATTGTTTTCTTGAGGGTAGTAATAAATTTGTATTAGAAAAAATAACTTCTGGTCTTATTTCTAAGATCAGAAGTGGGATAGGTCTCATTTAGCCCACTTCATTTGTTGTTTTACTGTTGTTGATTGATTTTCTTAGTTCTGATTTTTTGTTTCTTTGTTTACGTTCTATTTTCGCGAGTGTACAAGTTAGTTGCAATATTTGGTGGTGGTTAGTGAATACATAGGTATTTGTGTAGTGATTGTGTTTACTAATAGGTTTTGCGATTCTGTTTTTATTTCGATTTAGTTACAATGTCAGATCGTGAGCGTGATCGTAGTGCGAGCCGTCGCGGTAGTCGCAGCCCCAGTCATGAGCGTCGCAGTGACCGTGATCGGAGTGATAGTAGACGTCGTGAACGATCTCCTGACGAGAATACTCGGTTGAGGCTCGAAATGAGAACAATGATAGCTCGTCTTAGTGCGTTAGAAAATAAGTCTAGGGCTACATCTATTCCAGCGCGTTCGAGTGAGCACATGGCGGGTTCTAGTGTTCGTGATGTGTTAGTGTCAGAAAATGTGCACGATAGATCGCCATCGCGGCGCCGGCAAACACGATTGTTAGGGCGCAATATCTCGCGATCGCCTGATCGCACGGTTTCACGTAGTGTACGTCGTCCGTTGTCGCCGCGGTGTAGGTCAAGATCCCCTAATAAGTATACGACATCGCGGTCGCGTGACCACGTGTTGCCTACTCGAGAAGTTAGTCAACGCCGACGTTCTCGATCCAGATCGCCACGTCGTGGTAGCGAGGTGGATGCGTCGATGCATTCTACCATTACTGATCGTATTGTAGATGTGATTAATTCTATTAAT